AAAACAACAATAACAACAAAAACCCAAAATGTAAGATGAGGTAGAAAACTAAGTAACATTCTTACCTAGCTATGAACCATAAGCTACAATAATGACCCGTCTGGCAAGGTATGACCACGTGTGCAACAGTGGCCATGTTATGGGGGTGACACATTGTTTAAAATATTTTAAACATTAAGCTGGATATTGTGGTGTACACTTTCAATCCTACAGGAGGCAGAGGCAGGAAGATCTCTTCTTGAAGGGGGCCTGTTCAAGAGCAAAATTGTCTCACAATAAAAAGGAAACAGTAACAGCAAAATCACCAAATAACCTTGGTGGAGGTCAAAGCAACAATGCCATCCAGTACCCTGGCTGTACTCCCAGGCCCAGCTCTGGGTCTCCACCTATTCTGTCCCCCAGGAAGGGCTCAGATGGCTGCACGTCAATAGGTCAGATGAGTTAACTGACCCCACAGCTGCTGCTTGTTGAGAGCAGCAGCCATGGGGGTGGAGCATTCAGCCACTAAGACTGTCCTGCCCTTTGGAGACATCTAAAACTTCCTCACCACTTCTGCACACTCCCATTCTGCACTTGTGACTGGCACTATTCTAGGTACTTGGGATGCAGGAGATGGAAGCTTCTCTACCCTATACAAGCCTTAAATTGTGGAGGGGGTGGTGGTGGTGCAGATGGCCCGGACTTGGTAGGTTAAAGTCCACAGTGTGAGGGAACAGTCCTGGGAGGAGCACTGTCTGAGGAGCACCAACAGCCTCCCTCCCACTTGCCTGCACTCAGGTGCTAGGCTCACTACCTCTCCCCTGACCCCTCTGGAGGGTCTCACTATGAAGTCCCACTGTCCTGAAAGTTGCTTTGAAGATCAGAGATTTTCCTGCATCATCCCCCCAACCCAACCCCCCCCACACACACATACCCCACTCTCTCTCTCACACACACAAAAAAATGTTTGCCACGCAGTGCTGGCACATACCTTTAATCCCAGCACTGGAGAGGCAGAAGGAGGTGGGTCTGAGTTAGAGGTCAGCCTGGTCTACATAGTAAGTTCCAGGACAGCCAAGGCTATAAAGAGAAAGCTTGGGGGGGGGGAGAGGAAGGGATGCTAAAAAATACAGTGGTTTTCCACTTGTTAGAGAGTGGTACACTCTCTAACAAGAGTTCAAGATCAGCCCAGGCTACATGAGATACTCTCTGAAAGAAAAAAACATCAAAGGAGTCTATACACCAGACTGTCAGACCTACCAAGGCACAAACGCCAATCTAGGCCCCTCTGTCTAGTCACTATTACCCACCCAGCCAGCCAGCCACCCTCTTTGTGGCCTGGACAAGGTCCTATTCTCAACGGCTGACTTGAAGAGCAGTACTGTCAGCGGTAGGATTGCTGAACTGGTGTACTTAGACGACTTACTACAGCACTGACCATCTGAGGACTGAGAATATAAACATGCACCACCCCATCTGGCTCTAATTCGTTTTCCGCAAAGGTGCTGACCTCCCGGTAAAATGCATTTTGAAATGGTCCTGCTTCAGAATGGTACTCGCTCTCCCCGGGCCTTCCCACACCGGAGCTCCTCTCCTACATCAACCAGAGGGGAGAAACTTGGCACCTTCGCATGAACTGGTTGTGTGCTTCCCTGCGAAGTACTTTTTAAATTCATACCCCCCACCCCACCCCCTGCACCATGTTAAACTAAAACAGAATCTCACGTAGCTTAAGCTGCCCTTGAACTCCTGACACTTGCCTCCAACTCCAAGTGCTGGGATTACATGTGTGTCCCACCACAGTGAACTAACGATCCAAGTGGTGCCCTACATGCTGGCCTCAGATTTCTGCAGTGGGCCAGCATTTCCAGAGACGACAGAGGTCCTAAGAGCCCGGCACATGTTCCTATGGTAGGAAAGTTAGCATATCAACCCTATTCTCAGGACCACACTGCCTCCCAGGTTCCCTAACTAACTTGAGACACTCCCAGGAAACAGACAAGAAAAAAAAAGTATGTGGCACTGTCTAGGTCTGTGAAACAACTTTCAATGCTAGTGTTTTTTTTTGGACAAGAAAGGGCATGGTCTCCTTGTCCTAGTGATGGTAGAGTTTCTGTGTTTTGACCTAAAATGCTGCCACTAAAATCAACATCAATTTTAGTAAGCCTTCTTGTTGGGCAGTGGTATTGCACCTTTGATCCCTTCATGAGAGGCAGAGGCAGGAGGATCTAAAATTCAAGGCTAGCCTGGTCTACGGAGTGAATTCCAGGACAGGCAGGGCTACACAGAGAAAACCTGTTTAAAAAAACAAAAATTAGTATAAAGATTAAAAAAAAAATAGATTAGTAAGCCTTCAAAATACAACCAGTTCAGGAATACAGTGACTGTTGGTCCTTTAGAGACAGTTCTTCATTTGATCCATAACATTAAAATGCAGCCAAACAGCAGCAGAACACAGCCCTGCAGAGTGCCTGCATTCACACAGAAGGTGCTGCTCTCCTCAGGGCACATGGCAGACCTCTAGCACTCCACTGGCTTTGAGAATACAACCATGGAAAAGCAGTTCACAAGAGCCATCTCCTTTTCTGTTTCCTCAGCTCTGGCTGGCTTCTAGGTAGAGCAGGCTGGCCTCAGTTTGCAGAGATCTACCCGCCTCTGCCTCCTGAGTGCCGAGATGAAAGTTGTGTGCCACCACACCCAGCATGAGCCCTATTTGACAAGGCAGGTATTGTGTGTGGGCCATGCCCTGATTGGGTTTCTAGGGCAGGATTCTTTGAGATGGGGTCTCCCAAGGTAGTCTTGGCTGTCAAAGACTCCGCTAACAGAGACCGGCCTACTTTGGCCCCAAGTGCTTTGATGGAAGGCATGTCATCACACCCAGTTTAGGGCAAGATTCATGGAGTAACAGCTGGTCAAGACCCTTAAAGAACAACTCAGAAGCTCTGCCTGGATGAGGAAAGTGCGGTTCATAAAGATACAGTGGCCAAGAGCACCAGTGGGCACAGTCTGCATATGTAGCCCAAGAAAAGCCCCCGTGTACCTGGACAGCACCACTCTGTCTTGGTGGGCCCTGGGGTCCTTTACGTTTTAAAGGGCCATGAGCACAGCTGGCGGCACCCCGAGAGGCTGGCGGTCTCTAGAGGCCTTGAATCCAGGGCGAGCAGTTCCCCTGCAGTCACGGCTGACCTGCTGCCAGGGGCCTCCCCACTTCTGACCTCTCAACACCATCGGGATGGCCTTTCGGCTCTACTCAGTTTTTGTCTTCGTCCACCTCCTGAAGGTCCCTGGGTCCCTCCGACCTCACTGAGTCACCTGCTCCCCTGGGGTTCTTCCTCCCCCGAGCTTCCTGCATTTCAGTTCACAGCGGCCCCCACCGCACAGACCAGAAACTGTCATCTCTGCTTTCCCTTCTCACCCCAGATTCATCAAGAGCCTGCAGCAGCAGCACCCCACCCCCTCAAGCTAGCCATGCAGTCTGAAGGCCTCTGCTGGGCTTTCTTGTCTTCTAGCTCTCTCCCCTTCCAAAGGATTCCAGAAACAGCTCTCAGAGATGGCTGACAACCCAAGCAGGCCGGCTGGGAGCCCTGCAGCTCTCAGGGAAAGCAGCTGCCGTGAGGCCTAGCGAGCCGTCCTCATCACATCTCCATTCTTTTGCAGGCCTTGGGGACCCTGTGTCCTCTGGAGCTCCCAAGATGCTCTGCAATGTATTTCACATTATTTCTCACCACATCCCATTCCAAGTCCTCACTTCTTTTTAACAGATAATCACATATAAATGTGTGTGTGTGTGTGTGTGTGTGTGTGTGTGTGTGTATGCGTGTAATATGCATGTGAGTGTAAGTGCCCTGGAAGACCCTAAGTGCTGGTTTCACGACCAGTCAGCTACTAGATATGGATGCTGGAAATTAAACCCTGGACGATCTCATCAAGTGTAGTATGTGCTCCTACCGCTTGGCAACTGCTCCAGCTCCTAAGGTCCCACTTCTTGTTTGTTGACTGACTGCTGGAGTGTAAGCCGTAGGGAGACAGGGATGCTCAACCCTGTTGTCTTGTACAGCAGACAAGACAACAAACAGCCATGACTTAAGCTAGTTTAGATTTCATACCCCAGGTAACAACAGCCAATCAATCAACAACAACTCTAAATCAATGTAACAACTTTGCTGTGACATTAAAATGTCAAACTAAGTGTCAAGTTCATTACCCCCCTCTATATAACCATGTGGGTGTTGGGAAAAAGCTGTAGGTCTGATTCATGCGTGAATCACAGGCAGAGAGAGGAATATTGGGTACAGCATGGAAAAAACCCACTCAGTGATGGCAAGGGCCTGGTGTTTCCTCATGGGAGTACATGGTCCCCAAGGACTAAGCAGCTACCATCCCCTCCCAGGGACCAGGAGGGCTGGCAGAAAGGATGCTTCTCAGCTAAAATGCTGGGGTCTATGCAGAGTACTTAACACTATGCTTCCCACACGTCCTCTGCCTTTATTCAACCCGATGGTGGAGGCAAGCAGCATGCCTCAGGACTACCTTAGACTGAGGCTTCAACACAGCATTAGGAGACAGTGCAAGAGTTTACTGAGAAAAAGTGAATTTTTAATTATCTTGTGAATCTACTTAGAAAAACACACACAAGCAATGTTCACAACTATAAATTTAAACCTTTTGCACTAAAAAACAAAACAAAAACCAAAAAAACACAAAACAAACACAAAACCACAGGCATGAACTGTAAACCTGTATTAATTATCAACTAGTTTTAAGGTTAATTCTTAGCAGTAATTCAGTCTTTTCCTTCTTGGCAATTGTAATGTTTTAGCACCAAAGGATCTCCCACAGAGGTACTAGTAATGCTGGCTGCCAGTGTAAGGAGATGTTTGCAATGCAGTGCTTCCCACACACACCGTCACTCACACCACACACAGGAGTCACGTGCAGATGGTGCGGCACTCGACTCCCAGGGCAATGGACACAAGACAGAGGCACGGGTCACAGACTTTAATGTAGTGCATTCGTAGAAAAGGCCAGCCTCCGCTCCCAGGCGTGCTCCCGTCCTCAGACTTCATGTCATGATTTAGAAGATGCAGACGTTATTGCCTAAATATTACTCTATACATTTCCATCAGTGTTCTGGAAAACACCTTAAATTGCTACTTAATTTACACCATAATTACTGGGTTACAGCTTTAGCTCATTGGCAATTTTGGAAGCAATATTTTTGAAAGCTATGGATGTCCCTGATATCCGTTTAAACCGGACCCCATTCAGAGACAGTCTTGGCAGCTTACAGACTTCCATTTCCCACTGCACCAGGTTCTCCGCGTGCCCGTCGCCATGGACACAGAAGAGCAGGAAGCGCTCCCTCTGCTCATAGTCGCAGTTATTGGCGTCCAGCACTTTGCGGATCTCCCGCATCATATCACTGGGGTCCATGGAACTAGTGGTTTTCATGCTCCAGGTGAAGCGCAGTGAACGAGGTTTTGCCTCTTTGTTTTCATCCTTTTGTTCCGAAGATACATTGCGACTGAAATGCACAGGGGAAGGGTGATTTTTAATTGCACTGGAAAAAGACTCTTTTCCACCTTAGCTAACTGATTATCAACTCCTTCAGCATATAAGCAAACTGACCCCAAGTACCTCACACATATCGAGGGGTACACGCCTGTATCCCCAATCTCTAAACGTAAATACTGCACACAAGGGTCTGCCTGGCTGGAACTGTGCAGGAGCCCCCTGCTGCACAGGGTGAGTGCTGACAGTAACCTCCTGCTCGTTGTTCACCCACAGCTTGTTAGTGCAGTTAGGCTTGTCCCAGGCACACAAGCATCAGTGCTCCAAGGCTGACTCAGTATCCCCATAGTTTCCTATAGGTTCCTCAGCTAGTTGCCGAGTGCACAGCCAGGCCAGCCTTCTGTCCTCACCATCTCCCTTGTTGTTTCTCCATTTTGTTAAAATCCCAGTTTCATAGTGAAAATATCCAGGTCGTGCTCCTGTGGTACCAGCCACTCAGGAGGCTGACTGGAGCCCAGGAGCCCAGGAGCTTGAGGTGAGCCTGAGTAACAGGGAGGCCCACCTCACAACAGGCAAAACCAAACACTAAAATACCACAACTCAGATGATCTAATCTTAATGAAACAGACAGAAAAATGAAATGCTACAGCTCACTTGTCTGTGGAGAACTGAAATGACTGGTCTGTATGAGGTGAGCACTCAAAGCCAGGCCAAATAGCTACGTTAGACAGGCTGCAGGTTACAAAGGCAAGCACAAGCTTGGCAACACTTTTGGGATCAGGAAACCTGAGGTGAGGAGGCAGAGACAGCACAGACTGTGGGCAGTCTGTTGGTGTTGGAGAGTCACAGGAGGGAAGGGCGAGGCAGGGCAGAGCAGGACTGGCCACACACAACTAGTTAATTCAATGGAACCAGCAGTAGGGGGTTTGTGGGGTTTTGTTTGTGGGTGTGCTTCTTTTGTGAAGATGGGGTCTCACGGGGCTCAGACTGCCCTGACCTCCTGCTCTAATGTCCCAAGTACTAGGACCACAGGTGTGTGCTACCATGCTCGCACAGAGGCAGGAAAGTGCAGAATGCACTCAAGACACGCCCCAGGCATGGAGCCACCACACTGGGTCAGAGTGGCATAGACAAAACCACTGGTCCTTACAGAGCGCTTGCCCGGCAAACCTTGTCCTGCTCCATACCAGGAAGTAGGTTCCCTCATTACCTTCCTGTTGTGGAAGGGGCAATACATATGGAAAGGCAGAGCCTGCTCTAAGCTGGGACAGGCCTGGGAAGAGACTGCCTGGAGCTCCCTCCAAGTCTACCTGGAAAGGGCAGCTTACACAGTGCTCAGGGCCTCACAGGGACAGAGGGTCAAGCAGCAGGTGCCAATGAAGATTTCCCCTTGTAACAGTAGCATCATCAGAACTTGCACTGGAAAGCACAGTAGGAGGCCTACCACTACAGAGATGGAATCTGAGCCTACCTGTGATTCCATTTCATACAAGGAGAGCTACATCATTTTAAAAGAAAACACTGTCTCAGCCCTCCCAACCTTATTCAAGGCATCAAGACACAAATGTGAAGCCTGGCTGAGGGTGCTCAGGAAGGTTCTCACGGCACACCAGTGCCCTCTTGTGGCTGCTGGGATGCAAAGCAGTCTCCTAGGTCCAGCAAGTAGAGCCAGCAGCCTCAAGAACATTCTAGAACCAGAACCTTGACACAGCCCCAACCAGGCCCATTGTACTTAAACAAATAACCAGAAAACGGCATTGATCACCTCTGTCACAACAATGAGGTAGGTAAGTACTTAGAAAATATTTGAAGTAAAAAGCATTTCCCTCACCTTGAGCCCTCATATCTCCCGTTCCTCTCATATTCAGTTGGAAGTCTCAATGAACAGAACATAGAAGCAAAGCAAAGTGGGAAAGAGAAAAGAAATCTTACATACTGGTCCACAGCCACAGGTTCATCAACACAAACACTGTACAATGAATTAAGCCTAGGCATGGCAGTTACCACTGAACTGATTCAAACTCCTCCATCTGACCGTGGATGACGTAGTCTCCAGAGGACAAAGCTTGTAAAGGGCAAGCTGTGCGTCCACATCAGTTTTCTTCCTGCTGTGCCCATTCGTGGATTTGACTAGAGCTGTTCTGTTCTGTGTTCTATTACCAAGCCACACAGTACAGTTTCCATTTAAAAAGAAATGAGGTTATCAGTAGACCTCTATACTCAAATATAACAAATCTGTCCTGAAAATTTGCTATTTTGGAAGATCACCATCCTCATGTAGTGGCACTGGCAACAAAAAGGAAGCCGACTTCTCCACTCTTTAAGAGATCATGCTTCATAAATACCAAAGTGCAGCCTGGCCTTCCTGGGAGGCAGGGGCAGGCAGGAACTTAAAACAACAACAACAGGGTCTCTCTATGGAGCCCTGGCTGTCCCAGAATCCAGTATGTAGACCAGACTGGCCTTGGAGCTCAGAGGACTGCCTGCCTCTGCCTCCTGGTGATGTTAAGGCATGCACCACCTTGGCTAGGCAGCAACCTTAATAGCAGTGTTTCTGCCTTGTACGTGCACATTCCGAGGACATCAATATTTTTGATTTATCAACACCAAAAATATTAACCCAACTGGAACCCCACTTACCATCATGCTCTAGTAAACAATGACACATACTTTCTTCACTGGGACGTGGCTTTTAGACAGAATACTATTTGCTCCTCAATTCTCCAAAACCATAAGACATTTCTGCTGTGAAGTTGCTCACATCTCAGTGTCTACTCACATCTGAGTTTCTAAACGAGCCAAACCAAATGAGACCGGAGGATTGTTTTGGATTGTCTCCAACCCCAGCGTTATCAGCCACCTTGTCATTTGCCAGCTTTTGCCAGCTCAATTTCGGTAAAGCAAAAGTGATGACTAACACAATCACCACTTACCTTCGGTATGCTTCAGGCTACATACACCATTAACTGTACACTTGATTACTGCACATCCCATTCTTTAAACAGGAGCATGCTAAGTGCTATTAGTACCAAGACAGAATTATCTGGATGCTAAATCATTCTACTGAAGAAAGAGTGCACAGGGCATGCACAGGCCTTCTGCTGAGTGGGTGCTCTAGTTCCTTTAATATGCCAAACAGAGTTAATCTATTTCTTTCCAGTTTCCTTTCAAAGATATGAGAATTTAGTTCTTAGCAGAAAGTTTAGTTTTAAAGAAAAGAAAACAACAACAACAACAACAACAAAACAGGACCAAAAAGCCAAACCTGATGTTAATTGCAGGAGCCATTTGGGGAGGGTGGGGTGAGGACTGAAAAGTAAGTGTACATATATAAATCCTACCTTTTGATAAACCTGAATGACATGTTTCTAAAAGAAATTAAGCCAAAAAAAAAATTAACAAAAAAGACTTGTACAAATTAAACAGAAAATCTAATTAATTAGAGAAAGAATAGGAAAACAAAAAACAAAAAACAAACCAAACACCACGGCTCCTCTTCTGGCTAATAATCAATAAAAGCAACATTTGTTGAAAAAGTAAAATTATTATAAACACTTAAATTTTGAGTATGTGGTCTTTTAATTTCAAACATAAAAACATGTTTATCCATAATAATTAAATTCATTTAAAAAGTTCTTAAGATAAAATTCAGTCTTTAAAAAATTATCATGATCATTATGATGTTATTATTAATACAAGCCCTTGCTGTATCTATCAAAGGCTGGTCTTGCATTTGCAGCCTGCTTCAACCTGAGTGCTGAGATTACAGACCTGCCACCATACTGCAAATTCAATATCTTAAAGAAATAACATGTACTTTGTTGTACTTGTAATAAATATCATTTCTCAGACTCCTATAGACTATCTTATGAGCAGAACTTTCTTGACTTCTGCTACATAAATACAAAAGACCTAATTGTAAGCCATTTAGACATGAAGAAGATCGCCACTGAGCTATGTGTGACGGCATAATCCTACAGTCTAGCATGGGAAGACAGAGGCAGGGAGTGCAGCAAATCTGAGGCCAGGCAGGTCTATAAAATCAGTGCCAGAGCCAGTGCTATATAGCAAGATCCTGTATTAAAGGGGGTGGGGCTGGTAATGATGCTTGGTAATGGTAAAGTGTTTGCCCAGCATGCATGACAGGGCATATCCTTAATCCCAACAGTCTGGAGGTCCTGGAGACAGGAGGATCAGAAGTTCAAGGTCATCCTTGGCTACCTAGTGAGTTTAAAACCAGTCTGGGCTCCATGAAACCCTGTCTCAAAAACAAAACCAAACCAAAACAATAGTAACAAATTTAGGAAGACACATGGGCTGTGCGGAACAGTCTGACAAGATCTTCCACACAGTAAGCACTTCTGGGCAAGTGTAGGCAAGAAAAGCCCATTGCATAATGGATACCGCAGACACACATAAGCACCAAATAGCATTTTTGGATTTTTCCTCTCTAATTTGGGATTAACTTTGTATTGCTTTTAGGAAAGTCCAAACTCTTGACCTTGTCCATGCCACTGTCATCTGTAACTGTGTTGGGCTCCATTCACAGCTATCCCATAGTGCACGCAGCCTGTGAACCACAGCTGGACACTTGCTTAGACGAACTGGATAGTGTCTAACTATTAGAGACAACTGCTATCCACATCACACAGAGCAAACAATGGTACACAGCAGGATAAATACTGTATGGAAGATTGGGCATGTAAAATATTTTAATTAGATACAACCTATAGATATATGTTTGAAATACTATTTCAAAATGATTATTAATTTTTACCTTCCTCTCCCAGTACTGGGGCCTTGAGAGTTATATCACTAAACTACATGCCTACTCAAGGCCTTTTTAAAAATCTCTCTCTCTCTCTCTCTCTCTCTCTCTCTCTCTCTCTCTCTCTCTCTCTTTCTCTTTCCTGTCTGTCTGTCTATCTGCCTATGTTTTGCCTGCATGTATGTGTGATAGTGTTGGATCCCTTGAACTGGAGTTACAGAGAGCTGTGAGTGGCCATGAGGGTGCTGGGAATTGAACCTGGGTCCTCTGGAAGAGCAGCCAGTGCTCTTAACCACTGAGTCTTCTCTCCAGCTCAACAACAAGGTCTTTTAAACATTATTTATATATTGTAGGTGTATGCGTGTTGGCCTGCACTATGTAACTGTACCACATGTACATAGGCCCAAGGAGGCCAGAAGGAGATGGGTCCTGTAGAATCGGAGCAGTAGATAGTCATCAGCAGATGTGTGGGTGCTGGGAATGGAACACAGGTTTTCTAAAAGAGCAGTAAATGCTCAACCATTGAGCTGTCTCTCCAGCCCCTCACAAAGAAAGTTACTGTTAAATAATACATACATACTTTTCTTAATTTTGGGCTGGAGTTTATACTGCCTGTAGTGTTGAGCAGATTTACTTGTTTTACTTATTTATTCATTGATTTAGTTACTCACTCATTCATTCATTCATTCATTCATTCATTCATTCATTCATTCATTCATTCATTCATTCATTCATTCATGTTTGGTGCCTGTCCTGGATCTCGCTCTGTAGACCAGGCTGGCCTCGAACTGACAGAAATCCACCTGGCTCTGCCTTCCGAGTGCTGGGATTAAAGGCGTGCACCAACACCGCCTGGCTATTTGTTTATTTTTAAGTGCTTGCGTGCGTGCGTGCGTGCGTGCATGCGTGCGTGCATGCATGTGTGCACACGCGCACGCAGGCAAATACTATTTGCCATCAGATCCTTCTGAAGCTCTAGTTGTTGTGACACACATAAAGTGGGCACTAGGAATCACACTCCTGTTGTTTACAAGATCACTATGGTACTCTTAACCACTGAGCCATCTCTAGGGTTGGGAATTCTGCTTGTGGAGTTCCTAAAGCTCTCCAAATCTGCAGGCTGGATGGTCATACTTAAGCCACCTTGACTTCTCCCTCATGGTATCAAAGTGTCAACATCATGGCCTTTCAGGCATTACAATTTTAGCCTGAGAATTATTGTCCAGAGGAAGATAAAGAATTAACTGTAGTGAAGGATTTTTTTTTTAAAAGATTTATTTATGTATATGAGTGCTCTGTCTGAATGTTACTTACACTTGTATGCCAGAAGAGCCAGCATGTGCTCGCTGGAAATTGAACTCAGGACCTCTGGAAGAGCAATCAGTGCTCTTGGCTCAAAATCTAGCCCCTATATTTTAGTTATTATTATTATTATTGGCTTTTTTTGTTCTCACTTTTCAGACAGGGTTTTGAAACCCTGTGAAGCTCTGGCTGTCAAGGAATTCACTCCATAAACCAGATTGCAGAATGGTCTTGGGATCAGAGATCTGCCTGTCTCTGCCTCCTGAGTGCAGGGATTTAAGAAAAAGAAAAAAAAAAATCCCAGTACTTGGAGGCAGAGGCAAGCAGTTCTCTATGAGTTCGAGGGCCAGCCTGGGCTACAGAGCAAGTTCTAGGACAGCCAGGCTATATAGAGAAACCCTGCCTAAACAAACAAACAAACAAACAAACAATCCTGCCTCAAATAAAAAGTAAAAAATAAAAAGCCAGGAGTGGGGTTATTGGTGAGAATGCCTGGTGGTCAGAACACTAATGCTCTTGCAGAGGACGTAGTTTGACTCCTGGTACCCACAAGGAAGCTCACAACTATCTGCATCAGGTTTCAGGAGGTTCGATGCCTTCTTTCTGACTTCTATGGGTATCAGACAGACAGAGATACATGCAGGCAGAACATTCATACACATAAAATAAAATTTAGGGGCTGGAGAGATGGCTGAGTAGTTAAGAATACTGTCTGTTCTTCCAGAGGTCCTGAGTTCACTTCCCAGCACCCATATGGTGGCTCACAACCGTCTATAATGGGATCTGATGACCTCTTCTGGCAGGCAGGGGGTACATGCAAATAATAATAATAAATTTTTTTTTTAAATCTTAAAAAAAAACCCAAACTATTAGATGTATCTATAAATTATTAAAAGGATGATGTATATTGTATTTAAACAAGAAACCTTAATGTAATTTCTGTTCAACACTGTATGACATGAACTAAGTATAATTAGAAAATGAACCTGGGGAGCAGCACAGGCTCCAGAGCCAGGCAGATTCGGCTCAGACACGTTTCTGGTGTAGGATATAAAATTGTGCCTGATCTTTCTGAACCTCATCTTCATTCTTCTACAGAATGGGGAACATGTCCATGTATAGAACGGACCATGGGGCTGAAATAGAAGGTGGAGAGAAGACTAGGGAACAGACTATTCACATAGCTATGCACTCACTGTACATGTAGAAATATGTGTGGATTACTTATAGGTACCACTCATAAAATGTGTATGATACAGATGCTCATATATTATACAAATATGTATGTATGTAGAAAATAATTATATAGGGGGGGCTGGAGAGACGGCTTGGTGGTGAAAAGCACTGCTGCTCTTCCAGAGGATCCAGATTCAATTCCCAGCACCCACAGAGCAGCTCACACCTGTCTGTAACTCCTGTTCCAGGGATCCGACACCCTCACACAAACATACATGCAGGCAAAACACCAATGCACATAAAATACAAGTGAATAAATTATTAAAAACTATATAGTCAGATGTGACCTTGAATACTTTATTCCTTCTAGTACTCGGGAGGCAAAGGCAGATGCAGGTGGATCTCTGTTAGTTCGAGGCCAGACTGGTTTGCATAGCCAATTCCAGGTCAGGGATACACAGAGATACTGTCTCAAACACCAAACTGAGAGCCATAGATCGCTCAGTGGTGAAGAGCACTTGCTCTAGCAGAGGACCTGGGTTTGGTTCCCAGAACCCACATAATGGCTCACAACTGTCCAGAACTCCAGTTCCCAGGAATTTGACATCCTCTTCTGTCCTCCTCGGGCAGCAGGCATGCATGTGGTGGTGCACAGACACACATTTGAGCAAAACACTCGTACCCATAAAACAAAATAAATAAATCTACAAGAACAATACAAAATCTAAAACAACCAAAAAACCCAAACCAAACAAATTGCATATGCAAATATCTACCTGGTTAACTTACCACAAAATAAGCCTTCAAATGACAGTTAACTTTTTCCTTTAAAAATGTTTATGGTCTGTGTCTGACATCCATACAAATGATGTGCCTGTTAGGCTTGTGTGACAAGTGCCGTCTCAACAATCCAGTTTTTGCTGCCCCACCCCCAATCTATGCTATTTTGTTTTTCATTTCTTTGGTTTTTCAGGACAGGGCTTCTCTGTGTATGTAGCCCTAGCTGTCCCAGAACTTGCTCTATAGACCAGGCTGGCCTCCAATTCAGAGATCTGCCTGCCTCTGCCTCCCGAGTGCTGGGATTAAACTAAAAGAGCAGCAAATGCTCTTAAAACCGGGTTTTTACTGAACCTAGAAAAAGTGCAGTGGAAAGTAAGCCTCAGTGATTGTCTTGTCTCTGGCCACCACAGCAATGGTCACAGGTATGAGCAGCAGGTCTGTGGCGTTTTATGTAGGTGCTGGTCCTCACTGTTTGTCTAGGAAGCACTCTTTTTTTTTTTTTTTGGTTTTGGTTTTTCGAGACAGGGTTTCTCTGTGTAGCTTTGTGCCTTTCTTGGAACTCGCTTTGGAGACCAGGCTGGCCTCGAACTCACAGAGATCCACCTGCCTCTGCCTCCCAAGTGCTGGGATTAAAGGCGTGCGCCACCACTGCCCGGCTAGGAAGCACTCTTACTGGGCCACCTCTACAGCCCCCACCTACACGATGTGATTTTCAGTCAATGACAGTCTTATACAAACAGAGCACACAAAGGAGACAACTGAACAGAAGGACTTTGATGAGCTCCAGAGTCAATTACAGGGCTGGTGAGGTAGCTCAGTGGGTCAGTTACTTGGTATCAAGGCAGACATGGAAGAGACAGATGGCTTCATGTTCAGACACAATCACAGTGCAAGTGTTTTTCTTCGTGTCTGCTAAGCTGAAATAGATATGCCATGTGGACAGATGTGTGAACAATACAAACAATAATTAAAGAATGATACTTCTACCCAAGCGCTAGACAACTTTTGGTATTGTGAAAAGATGCTGAGTTCTGTAACTCTACTTTAAAGCTTTCAAATCTGAAGTTGGACACACATGAGCTAAGGGGAAGAATGAAAAAGGATTCAGGCAGCAGCTTCACCAATTAGGAAAGACATTTACTTTTTCTCTTTGTATTTGCTTCAACAGAACCAGCAGCACATGACACTTACCTCCTTGTGAGTTTTGAAGTTAATTTACTAAAAAGATTAGTGGAACCTCGGCTTCGAGTCTGGGACAGTGGTGTGGCTTCGTGGGACAAGCTGGGTGAGGCAGGTGGGCCATTATACGTTGCGGTTCTCCGCTCCCGAGGCTGGCCGTGGAAAGTGCTACGGCTGGCCGTGCCTCTTGGGAAGCGAATGCGGTCTGGAGTGGTCGCACTGCTAATACTGTGGGTAGAAGCGACTGGAGTTCTCTGATCTGGAATAGTGCTAGGAAAGCAGAAAAAGAGACATCTTTGTTCCCGAAATCATAACAAATGAAAATTTATAAGCACAATATTCCTTACATACAGTGAAGTAAATCAGCCACTGTGAATCAAGATCCAAAGGATACTTTAAAACAGGACTTAGGGGCAAAAGGTAAGCTCAGTGGGAAGGCTATCAAAGGAACAGGACAAGAGACAAAGCTCAAAAGGTTTAGGAACACCATATATGTACATTTCAAGGACAAGATTAACGTAGGGTAGAGAATGGCTAACTCACATTTTCCCCCTCTACTTCCCTTTCAAGCTGCTTACACACAGAGAACTGTGCCGAAAGGAAAGAAAGTCTTGCATGTGAAAAGGAACAGGCAACCAAAAAGTTTCTAGAAGCACACAGATGGCATAAATGTAAAATCCCACATGCTGAAAGCAAGTTGGGGTGGGGATTTCTTATACCCTGTAGTATGTATGCCAAGGCATGAAGACAGGCATATATACATACAGACACAGATAACATGGACACAGTGAGACAGGATGTACTTCACTAAAACTATATGGAGGAAGAACATCTTGTGGACAACTGTAACAAAATCTTGAACCATAAAATCCACAGCACAAAATTAAGCAGCAGTGGGTACACATTAGCTTCACAAGGAATGTGCATTTTTCTTACATAGCCTTGAAGTTATCTCCTTCACTGTCTATTGGAGGTAACATCATCTTGGGGTGCCCAGAGGCTGACATGGACATCGACTTCTGATGTCTCAGCCGACAGGTAGATGTGGCACAGAGTGAGGCAGGGCTAGCTGCGTAAGCGAACACTTCTGTCAGGCTGGGAGAGGGTTTGGGTTCAGGCAGAGGCAGAAACAACAGTGTGATGGAACAGTGACCAAGAGCAGCCTGCTGTCTAATGCACACACCTTCTCCCCAGACCCCTGCAGACCTCCAGAGATTAAGAATCTCTTTACCTTGTTTGGGGATTTGGGCCAATTGCTGGCCCTTAACTGCTTTTACAAACAGCAGGTTGTTTTTTTTTTTTTTTCCCTTTTTTACCCCCGAGACAGGGTTTCTCTGTGTAACAGTCCTGGCTGTCCTGGCTCTCACTTTTCTTTTTCTTTTTTCTTTTTCTTTTCAGGAGCTGAGGACTGAACCCAGGGCCTTGTGCTTGCTAGGCAAGCGCTCTACCACTGAGCTAAATCCCCAACCCCTGGATCTCACTCTGTAGACCAGGCTGAACTCGAACTCACTGAGATCTGACTGCCTCTGCCTCCCAAGTACTGGGATTAAAGGTATGTGCCACTACCGCCCAGCTGCAAACAGCAGTTTTAAAAGTTCATTATCTTAGCCAGGCGGTGGTGGCACACGCCTTTAACCCCTGCACTCGGGAGGCAGAGGCAGGCGGATCTCTGTGAGTTCGAGGCCAGCCTGGTCTAGAGAGTGAGTTCCAGGAAAGGCACAAAGCTACACAGAGACTGTAATCATGAGCATAGAAACTTATTACCCATCAGAGTATCCTATGTCATTTGAACAATAGAGTTCAGAACCTTCCCACTCAGAAGACATGTGCTCCCTTCTTAGCAAGATGGGGAAAATCAGCATGTGGACTATTTATGGAGAGAGTATCGTAGTGATTTAAAGCCTTCAGTGTTACCTTGCACAACGGATTCGGACAAACTCACTCACACAGAGTAGTACCCTAGGACCTGCTTCCTCTTTTCACCTGCACATAGGTTCTAGGGATCAAACTCCAGTCACGGGGTTTGTATGACAAACGATAAAGGCTTTTTGCCTGCTAAGTTGCCTGTCTCATTGGCCCATCTCTTGTACTCTGTTCAAATCCAGACAGTGGTCAATACATTTGGTTGGTCTGCCTAGGTGCTGACAATTTTTACCAAACTGGGAGCTAGGTTCAACATGTGAATGAAGAGAATGAACAGAGCAAGAACAGAAAAAACAGGAGCTGTTTGACTTCTCTGGAGAACATAAGTGGTCTTAAAGACAGACTTGGAGAAGGAAAAGGGCTTGGGTGTAGACAAGAGACTTCTCTCTCTCTCTCTCTCTCTCTCTCTCTCTCTCTCTCTCTCTCTCTCTCTCTCTCTCTGTTTTACGGGACAGGGTTTCTCTGTGTTGCTTTGCTCCTTTCCTGGAACTCACTCTGTAGCCCAGGCTGGCCTCAAACTCACAGAGATCTGCCTGCCTCTGCCTCCCGAGTGCTGGGATTAAAGGCGTGCACCAGTACCTTCCTGCTGAGACTGTTCCCTTTCTCCAAGAAGTAGCTGCAGGGGTGACTGGCCCAATTGCCCAGGCAAGACCTATAGATAGGTACAGGGGCATGAAGAGAGCATGTGCAAATACTCTGCAGCACTGACTGATTCTTCCACAAAGTACAAGACCTAGCTAAAGGAAAGTATAATTCATACTTTAAGTATGAACTATTTGGTTAAAATTATTAAATTATTTTTTTGTTATATTAAAAGTGTGCGTGCATGCATGCACGTGAATGTGTTTGAGTGAATATGCCTGCAAACTCTAGAAAAGGGTACTAGATCTCCTGAGCTTTAGTTAGAATTCTGGTCCTCAAGCCGGGGCAATGGTGGCACACACCTTTAATCCCAGCACTTGGGAGGCAGAGGCAGGCCGATCTCAGTGAATTCCAGGGCAGCCAAGAATGTTACACAGAGAAACCCTGTCTCAAAAAACAACCCCCCCCCCCCCCCCGGAAAAAAAAAAACTATTTCATGCCTCAACTGTTTCATGTCTGTCTACACCCCATGGTGCTGGAGTTACAGGTAGCACAGCCATGCCTTGCTTTCCATAGGTGCTGGAAATTCAAACTCCCATCTCATGCTCACAGAGCAAGTGTGATTTACCCTCCAAGTCAGCTCCCCAGACTGAACAAAGTGTTTTCAATGAATGTTGCTGAGAAGCAAATAGGCCCTGGTAGGAAGCAGGGGACACAACTGTTAGGATTCTGCCACTCCAGCTACATGGCCGCCCATGCGCAGTTCAGTAGCGTCTTACGTCATCAGTGTGATGCGCAGTCAAGCAATAAGCGCATGAGTGGCTTAGCTCCATAAGCCCACCTGTGCATGTGCATGGAAATCCTTAAAAAGCTGGACACAGACTCCTCCCCTCTCTTTTGCTTTCTCTTCCCCATGTGCCTTTGACCTTTCCTTGTTTTTTAAAACCAACATTGGTGCTGTGATGAAGCAGGCTCTCAAGGCACTCTGCGTCTGGGGCCCTATACCTGACTGGATCTACAACTGCCGGCTTTTTTCATTTGCCTAGTCCCCAGGACGGCTCCAGGTTGGTGAGTTTTCCATTTCTGATCCCTCACCATTTCCTCTGTAGCCTGAGATATATTTCTCGTGCCAGATGCCCCAGAGAGTCCTCGGGCTGTGTACCATGACACATTCTCTCTTGATTAAGCACTGAATGCTGTCTGGATTCCAGGGGATCCTCTGGTACTTATGTCCCCCAGCCCTTGCCCATCCCGTGACAATGGGTTGGGTAACTTGTGATGTTCATTTATGACAGTCCACAGAGATGTGAGTCTGGGATCCCCTTTGTTATTTTAATTTTTTTTCTCTTGGCTGCAGTCATGGGACATAAAAAGCTTCCTCCTTTGGTCCCACTGCTCCTCTGAGAAATGTCTTTTTTTTTTGTGGTATTTCAAGACAGGGTTTCTCTATGTAGCTTTGGTGCCTGTCCTGGACCTCACTCTGTAGCCCCAGCTGGCCTTGAACTCACAAAGATCTACCTGCTGGGATTAAAGGTGTGCGCCACCACCGCCAGTGCGAGAAATGTCTTAAATATCCCCAGATACCAGTAAATTTGGCCGCATAACGGCTGCTTGAACCCTGATATTTCACGGGAATTAACTAACTTCTGCCAGGGAATGTGCAAATGAAGAGTTATCTTATCCCCACACTTTTGCCTAAGCTGTGAACCCTCCCTGAGTCTTTCTCTCCAACTCTGGCTTCACTTATCTGACCTCCGATTTGTTCTCCGGTACCGGGCAGGCCACTAAGCATGGACAGGTCTAGAAGAAGGCTAGGATGCATGTAAATAAGTTTATGATCAGGACCCACATTGGGATCATAATAATCCAGATGGCTCTCTAGCCAGAGATCAGTTTACAGCCTGCCACTTGGCGGGTCTTCCTAAAGCTGCCCTCAAACCAGCAAACTATCAAATAAAAAAGAAAAAAAAAATTCAAGACATGGAATAAAATCCATCTCTTGTCTCCCAGAGCTACCTGACATGAGGGCTAAACTTAAGCATCTGGAGAGCAAGGATCCTGACCCCACAGATGGAAGTTTCAGCTGTGGCATTTAAGGTGTACCATGGGAGAGATGAGAAAGCCCATGAACAGAACTGCCAAACGCTGGCACACGCCATCCAAGCGGCTGCTGCATAAGGGCTTCCAGGTCCGTTTTAAATGTGTGCTAGAGGAGGCCATGTGGGCTAGTGCGTGCTACAGACATACATTCAAGCAAAACACCAATGCACATAAAATAAAAATTATTTTAAAAAATTCACAACCAGGTGGTGGTGGTACACGCCTTTTATCCCAGCACTTGGGAGGCAGAGCCAGGCGGATCTCTGTGAGTTCAAGGCCAGCCTGGTCTACAGAGTGAGTTCCAGGCCAGGCACCAAAACTACACAGAGAAACCCTGTCTCGAAAAACTTAAACAAAACAAAACAAACTGCCAAGCCAGTGTTTTCTTTTCCCTCGTGTTGTGCGCCAGGAGCTTCTCTGCTGTGGTGAGCCTGGCATCGGGCGGGTGAGCCAGCGTCACCCTCACTGCACAGGTGCCCCCATTTGTATATGGTTTCAGTTCAACCCCAGTTCTTAAAGAAATGCTGCAGGAACTTCAGTTTTCTCATTTATTTCATCCTCTTTCCACCTGACCACCAGGCAAATGACTTCCTTTCTTCCTCTTTTCCTTTTCACATCTCTAGAAAATACCATCTTTCTAGAGCCCCCAACTTCACAAAGTTCCCGAGGGTGCTACTGGGTGAGTTGTCCTGCTGGGCGAGGGGAGAGCCGTCTGTTCGCTGGAAACACTCATAACCATTCCTTTAGATTTGTTTGCCTTATGGTTGTCATAAACGCGATTTGCAAAAACAAGGAGCCTTAGTGGATGTATAGTACCTAGACTTCTGTGTCAGTGCAGAAGGGAGCAACTTTGCTATTTGGTCCAGTATAATAATAAAAAGACAGAAACCAATTCAATAAAACAAATTAATGTCACAAGACACGTGTGGTGGTCCACACATCTGTAATACCAGTACTTGAGGGTGGAGGCAGGGAAGATCAGGAGCTTCAAGCCTTAAGAAAAAAGGATGACTACTATCACCCTAACTCAGTGCTTCTCACTGTTGTCCTGCTGACTGAACCTCAGGGTTGTACTTGCACACACAGTGGGCAGCTCATCTACAACTGTAGCTCCAAGAGATCCAATGTCCTTTTCTGGCGAGCGTGCATGCTAAATATGACCAGACAGTGGTCAAGATTCAAGTCAGAGGACAGCAAAAGGTAACTTGAACTCATCTTGGAGTTCTCTGAGGCTTACTCTAATTTCTAACTCCTCACTCAGAATTTGGTTTATTTTATACAGAATATGCATTTAACTAAATCCCACCAACTAGATTTCTTTTCCCTTCCCCCACAAATCAATAGTACTTCATGGTTCCTGGATCAACCTAATCCCATTTTTCTTACTTTTGTTCGGAAACAGGGTTTTTCTGGGTATGTAGGCCTCTGAAACTTACTTGATCTGTAGACCAGGCTGGCTTGGATCTCAGAGATCCATCAGCCTGTCTCTGCCTCCCTAGTGCTGGAATTAAAGGCATGCGCCACCAGTGCCCAGATCCTTTTTTGTTGTTGTTGTACAGGAGTTCACATTTAGATTTCCTGAGTTTCAGAAGACAACCAGAGGCTGTACTTTGATATATGTATGGTTGTTTTGCCTGCCTAATGCCTGTGGAAGTCAGAAGAGAAAATCAGACGCCTAGGACTGGAGTTCCAGATGGTTGTTGAGTCCCATGTGGGTGCTGGGAATCAAACATGGGTCCTCTGGAAGAGCAGACAGTGCTCTTTATCACAGAACCATCTCTCCAGCCCTCATTTTCTTATTTCATAACTCTGATATGATCTACTTACAGACACATGATCTTATTAGTGTTTCAAGCCATGCAGAAGATGGACTCTCCATGTTCCTACTGTCTCATGAATATTTCTCTGAGGGGGGACTATATTACTACTGGCCATCTGCACCTGGTGGGAAGACTGGCCTTGAACCTGGAGATGCACCTTCCTCTACCTCCAGAGTGCTAGGAATTAAAGACCTGTACCACCACCACCCAGCTTAAGTTATTATTATTGTTATCATAGAGCTAGAAATGGAACCATGCACATTATTATGGCACTGTACCTAAACCACAACTGAGACCCTGTTCCAAAGATGAACATACACAAAATCTCTTCCATTCCCCTACTCACCATTTTCAAAAACCATGGCATGCTAAGAGTCTCCAGAAGAAACCTCACTGGCTCAACCTCAACTTTTCCTTGTCACACATAGCCAAGCATAGGGATAGGTGCTCTGGACAAAGAGAAGAATCTGGAATCCCAATATTTTGCTAAAAATTAGCATTTAAAGTTTACTTACCTTTAATGAATAAGCAATAACCATTTGAATTTTGATTTTAAAAGTGAGAAGTGACATACTACCACTTCTTTTGGGAGAAAACATTTTTCTAGGTAAAAATCTCCTACCTGTTTTCTTTGCCATTCTGAATGACTGAGTGTCTGTCCGTTGCAGACCTCTCACTGCAAACGTAGGTGTTTCGTCGTGTCATTCCACCAGATGCTGCATTACTCTGCAAGAAAAGGGTGTACTTATCTTAGACTATTTGGTAAGTACAATTCAATAGAAATAAAAAAAATTGTTTATGCAAACAAAAAATTGGAAGACGGCTGTTGTCTATGCGTTTGGGGGTGTGCATGTGCCTGAAGGTTGGAGGTTAATAATGTGCTAACTCTCTGGACACTCTCTACTGAGTATTCTCCCTAAACTCAAAGCTCTCAGACTGAGGTTAGACTACTTAGCCAGCTGGTCAAAGGGAGGGACAGCCTCTCTCTCTCTGCCTTTAGTGTACTGAGATCGTAGGCAGGCGGCCATAACCATCTGGCTTTATTTGGGTGCTGGGTTTCTGAACACTTGAGCAGCAAGCATTTTACCCACTAGATCATCTCCCTAGACCTACACAGTCATTCATAAACAAACAAATAAATAAAAACAACGTATGTGACTGTGTTTGCACAATGGTATGTGAGTGTGTGTGTGTGTGTGTGCGCGCGCGCGCGCTTGTGTGCCAGAAGAGGACAATGGATCTCCTGAAGCTAGAGTTATACAAGAGCTGCCGAATGTGGGTATTGGGAACTGAACTCTGGTCTTCTGCAAGAATAGAAAGCACTCTTAATTACTGAGCCATTGCTCCAGTCCCTTTTAAAAAAAGTCTTTAAATAAATCTAGTAATCCCGACGTTTGGGAGGCTGAGGCAGGAACATCATGAGTTTGAGGCCAGACTGGATTACATAGTAAGCCCTTGCTTAAAAAGATAGAAAAAAATTAATGCAGTATTTTAAGGATAAGGCTAACATATATGCAGAAATATATAATAATATACATGCCAATAAAATTAGAACACATTTCCATGAGGCTGGAGTTTGACAACACACTAGCAGACAAAGTTAGCACAAGTATGAACAAGAATATAAAAAAACTAATAAAAATGCAAAGGATGAACAGGAGAGATGGCTCAGCGATTAAGCACATCTGCTGGCTGCTCTTCCGAAGGACCTGGGTTCAGCATCTGCTTGGTGGCTCACAACTGTCTGTAACTCCAGTTCCAGGGATCTGATGCTCTTTAGGCACCATGAATGCATGTGGCACACAGACACAGAGGCAGACAAAAACAATCATATACACGAAAAAGTACCAAGGATATTGTGAAAAGTGAAGGAACGCACAAGGACAGGAAATGCTTGCAATCTTATGTCTGATCAGTGTCTCGTATTCAGAATATATGGCAACAACTCTTACAACATAATCTCAGAATGACAAATTAAAAATGGGCAACCCAAGGTGTTATGAATTGTATAAAGAAGGCTCTGGCAGGTAGAGAGCCAAGGTGCTCTTGTGGCGGGTGAGAAACAGAGAAGCCATGCAGACAGCGCTCAGTGAGGAGGTTTATTTAGTGGAGGAAGAGAAAAGAGGGAGGAGAGAAAGAGAAGGGGGAGAGGGTACGCACTCCTCGTGGAAGGAAAGGGAAGAGAGGGGGAGGGGAAGAGGAACGGGGGAGAAATGGGTGGAGGTTTCCCTTAAGGGCATAGGGTGGTGCCAAGAGGCAGGATCAGAATATTAACACAGGGCAGCAAGCTGGCTCAGGCTCAGTTGGTGCTGTGTTTGCTCCCAAGACTGTCAACTTGAGTTTGACTCCTAGAATACACACAGTAGAAAACAAGAAGCAACTCCCTTGCACACGTGTGCAAGAATGTATGCATATAGATACATACACAACATAAATATAATAAAAAGGTTTTTCTGCTGTTTTTTGAGACAAGGTTTCTCTGTGTAGCCCTGGCAGTCCTGGAACTCCATTTGCAGACCAGGCTGGCCTCAAACTTAGAGATCTGCCTGCTGGGATTAAAGGCGTGCAAAGCTACTGCTCAGCAGATTCCAAAACTCTTGAGGTTGAGGCAGGAGAATTATTGTGAGTTCAAGGCCACCCTGGGCTACATAGTGAGACCCCATAATGTTCCATCTAGGAACCCACACGTAGAAAGAGACTAACAACTTTATATAAAGTTGTTCCTTGACCTCCACAGGCATACTCTGGGATGTCTTCCACCCACAAATGAATAAAATGTAATTAAATAAACAAGGAAATGAATGGATACAATGGCTCAGTGGGTAAAGTTGCTTGCTGCATAGAGTCTAAGGACCTGAGTTCAAGCCCCATGTGGGCTGTTTTGTAACCCTGATACAAGGTAGAGTAAGCTGGGTGGAAGAACTTCCATCAGAGACTATCCTATAAGAAGTCTATGTGGTCACTGTCTTCATTGACATGGGAGAGTTTGGCTCATGATGGGCAGTGTCAACCCTGGGAATGAGGTGTCACCTCTATCAGAGAGACACTCCTATAGCAAGTCTGTGGGGTCATTCTCTTGACTGATATGAGAGGGCTTGGCTCATGGTGGGTGGTACCAACCTTGGGAAGGCAGTCACCAGCCTCTGCATGAGTTTCTAACCTAACTTCCCTCTGAGACAACCTGAGAGATGTTAAAATGAAATAAACCAGCCAAGTAGTGGTGGTGCATGCCTCTAGTCCTAGCACTTGGAAGGCAGAAGCAGGCAGATCTTTGTGTTTGAGGCCTGTCTGGTTTACAAAGTGAATTCCAGGACAGCCAGGGCTACACAGACAAATGCTGTCTTTAAAAAAAAAAAAAAAAAAAAAAAAAAAAGTTTAAAAAAAACACTTTCCTACCCCGAAACTTATTATCAGTGATATATCATAGCCATAGAAATCTTAACTAAACTGGGTGGTGGTGGTATACACCTTTAATCCCAGCACTCAGGGAGGCAGGGGCAGGTGAATCTCTTGATCAAGTTCCAGGACAGCCAGGGCTACACAGAGAGACCTGTCCTCTGACTTCCACGTGTGCCTATGCCATAGGCACCACTCCCCAGTAATGTATAAAGTTTAAGAGGATAAAGTGAGTTCAGAACCCACATTTAAAAAAAGCCAGCCAGAGCCACACAGAAAAACCCTTCTTAAAAAAGGAAACAGAACAAAGCAACAGTCAAGTGCAGTAGTATGTATTGTATGTATCCCGGGGCGGGGAGGCAGAGACAGGAAAATTACTGGCAGCCAATCTGACCTAATCAACAAGCTTCAAGTTCAGAGACCCCCTCTTAAAGACTAAGATGGCTAAAACTTAAGGCAGAGGCTACAGACGCAAAGAGTGGGGCAGAGCACACCCAAAAGGTAGAAAGCAATTGACAAAAACATTTCCACTGTTAACCTTTGTCTTTTATACTCGTTTGCACAGACAAGTACATACACACGCACACACACACACAGAAAAGAAAACTGTTGTCACCACAGAGTTGTCTAACAGCCCTGGCTATCCTGGAACTCACTCTGTTGACCAGGCTGGCCTCAAAGATAAGCCTGCCTCTGTCTCTGAGTGCTGAGATTAAAAGCCTATGCCACCACCTTCAGGCCACATAGACATTTTATACAAATGTTTACAATGCTATTCTTTATGTCTAAAAGGTAGAAATAATCTAAATGTCTATCAATAAATGATCAAGTGAATTGTAGTCTAACACTCAAGCTCTAAAAAGGAATGACGTGTTAATATATGCCACAACTTGAACTCTCAAAATATTACCCTGAATTCAAGAAATCAAACACAATGGTGTATATATATGTATTTGGCTCCATTTATGTGGAGTCATCAAAAAAGGCAGCTGAGGAGCCAGAAAATGACAAGTGATCACAGTTACAGGCTATTCTGTGGTGCTGAAAAGTTCTCCAACTAAGTTGGGCAGTGGCTCATGCCTGTAATTGCAGGTTGAGGCTGAGGTCAGCCTAAGGCACAGACACCATGTTTCAAACCAACCAACCAAAAAACAAATCTAGTGAAACCAAACAAATTAAAAAAAAAGTAAGTTCTTAACCATGTATGGTTGTACATGCCAGCTGCACACTTAAAATGGTTAATTATATGTTATGTAGATTCTATGTTAATTTAATCTTGTAAATAAAAAACAAAATACCCCAACAAAGGAATAAAAGTTACAATGAAAGATTTTTATCATGTAACATCTATATTTACTAACTTTTGTGGTGCTAAAAATTAAAACCAAGGCTGTGGCGCACATTAGGGAATTGTTTTAAGAATTGAGCTCACTCAGAGAATATTTTTTAATTACACTTGTGTATTATTTTTGTGTGTGATGTGTATAGTATAGGTGCATGCATGCTGTGGTGTACATATGGATGTTGGATGATAACCTGTAAGTCAGTGTTCTGCTTCCATCATGGGCCATCAGGTATCCTAGGGAAATGATCTCTACCTTCAGGATCATCTCACTAGCCAGGATTTTTTTCTTTTATTCTCTGAGGCTTGCTCTTATTTTATGTACATGACCGCCTTGGCTATATGTGTGCCTGTGCACCATGTGTGGACTGTGATGACCAGAGCGGGTGTCGAGTCCCCAGGAACTGGAGTTACAAGTAGCTTTGAGCCACCATCTGGGTGCTGGTGATTGAACCTAGGTCTTCTAAAAGAGTAACAAGTGCTCTTGAACTCTGAGCCGTCTCTCCAGTGCCAATTTATTTTATATTTAGTTATGTGTCTACATGTGAGTAAAAGTGCAGAAGTCAGCGGCATCTGATACACCTGGAACTAGTTACAGACGGTTATAATTCACCTGATGTGGGTGCTGGGAACCAAACTGTGGTCCTCTGCAAGAGCAGCCAACATGCTTAATTTACTGATCCATTTCTCTAGTCCCTTCCACCTTGAACTCCTGATGTTCCTGGCTCTGCCTCCTAAGTACTGTGATTCTCCACCACACCCAGTTTGGGTGGTGCTAAAGACTGAACTCAAGGCCTCTTCCACGCTGTGCAAACAATTTACCACCAGAGCTTCATCTCCATCACCACAGCATTAAAAAATTATTTTCAATTTTTATTTATTTTGTTTTTTGATTTTTCAAGACAGGGTTTCTGTGTGTAACAACTTTGGCTGTCCTGGAATTCACTTTGTAGACAAGGCTGCCTTAGAACTCACAGTTCTAAGTGCTGGGACTAACGTCATATGCTACTATGACTGGTTATATTTATCTCTATAAAAAGAGAATTGTGTTTGTTCTGAGACATGGTTTCATTGTGCAGCCTTTGCTCCCCTGGAACTCACTATGTAGACCAGGCTGGTCTCAAACTCCTAAGATCCACCTGCCTCTGCCTTCCTTGTGCTAGGATTAAAGGCCTCTGCCACCACGCCTAGCACCACGCAACAAAATAAATTCCCCAGGAATTATATGGTAAATCAGCCTCAAATGAATTTAGTGAACCTGTGGAGTGGATGGGGACATAGGAACAAGCCTGCAAAATTCAAACTTCCTGCTTTCAAAATTTAATATAAAATTACAATCACGGCTGGGTGTAGTGGCATAAGCCTTTAATCTCAGGACCTAGGAGGAAGGCAGACCTCTGAGTTTGAGGCTACCCTAGTTTACAGAGCGAGTAAGTAATAAATAAGTGAAAATTAAAATGATTTTACCCTCTTGTTTTTTGAGACAGGGTTTCTCTGTGTAGCCCTGGCTGTCCTGGAACTCACTGTAGATTAGTCTGGCCACAAACTCAGAAATCTGCCTGCCTCTGCCTCCTGAGTACTGGGATGAAAGGCGTGTGCACCATGACAATGGGCAAAAAGATTTATTTTTATTTGTATGAATGGTGGTTCATGCCTTTGATCGCAGCACTTGGAAGGCTCATGTCTTTAATCCCAGCAGTCGGGAAGTGGAGACAGGAATGTAAGGCAGTAGAGACAGGATCTTGGCCCCTTTTGGTCTGAGGATTCAGAGACGTAAGAAGTCACTAGTGGCTGCTCGTTTGTTTCTCTGATCTCCAGGCAAGCTTTATTTGTTTGAACACAAACACTTTAGATTCCCGCTTCAGAGGTTCTAAAGTCACCAGGGCATGTCCATAGAGTGTGTTGAGACTCTGGCCCATCTAGTCACGTGCTTCCTTCCTACCTTGTTCTTCACAGCCTAGTTATGAGTCATAAGCCTAACCCACCTTGGACTGGAACTAGCCCTGAACTAACATATGTATCTCTTCTCTTTTTAGGTTAATTGCCTCAGAATTCCGCTATAGTAACAAGACTATATAATATTGCTGTTACTTATTATTCTTTAGGTAAATACTGACAGTTGAGAACACTCAGGATATACTTTAAACATGTAGATAAGAGGAATAGGGTGAAATGTCACAAAGATGGTAAAGAAAGTACATTCTACTGTCACAAACGTGAGACTGGATTTAAAATGCAAGAGACTGAGCCAGGTAATGGTGGCCCATACTCTTCAGGAGGCAGAGGCAGGCAGATCTCTGAGTTCAAGGCCAGCCTGGACTACAGAGCAAGTTCTAAGACAGCCAGGGCTACACAGAGAAACCCTGTCTTGAACCATCCCCTTCCAAAAAAAAAAGCAAGAGATAGAAATTAAAGTTCAATGCTACAACCTCACTTTATAAGGCATCTGGAAGCTAAAATATAAGTATTGTAGATGTTTTATTCTGATTAGGTACAATGCCAGAGAATGAAACGGACAAAACCCCTTGGGTTTCCTTGTGAACTTCTGACCCCAGAACATAATGAAGGGTTCCTTTCTGGGTTTTCTACGTGTAAAAGGGCTGCATTTCTGTCAATTTTTGACAGGAAAACATACTGATAAGATAACCTCGAGACTGTTCATTGTTGTGCAAATTCTGTCCAAAACTACTTCTATAAGCACTAATGATAATTACCATGTTATGTCAGCTGAAACTAAGTGAATTCAACTTAATCTAACAAACAGGAACTACTTACTGAGGGACTGTAGTAAGGCTAAGGATGCAGAGCTGTATAATTTTAGCGTACCAATTATGTAACTTTCCTTCATTTTCGTCACCTTGGTAGTCCAGTCTTTGGTAGTCAGAAAGGCCTCAGTGAACACACTCTCAACACGACAGTCGACTTGCTGGTACTGTGCCTATCAGCTTCTGCACAGCCACGGTTTCTGTGACACAACTTACAGAGAATAGATGTCTCCAGGGTAACTTCTCCTTGTCTCCGTCTGACACACAGGACCTGAGCACTTACTGGTGTGGAGAATGTGCTATGACTGTCTGGGCTCCAAAGCTCTGGGTAAATGAGCTCCAGTGCAACAGCGCTAAGAACTGGGGCTTCTAGGTCATTAGTGCATTACAAGAGGGAGGGAGGGAGGGAGGAATGATGATGCTCCCACATCCTCACCTCTGGAGCAGGTGGCCACAGATTATTATCTTGGGAAGCAGCAAAGACAATATCCCCCACTAGACAGCGAGCCTACTGGAACCTTGATTTTAGGTTTCCCAGTATCCAGATCTAAGGACACATTTCTGTTCCTTATAAATATGTCTCAGATGTTCTGTTAGAGCAGCAGAAATGAACTAGAAAAAAACCAGACTTATCCAAAGAAACAGCTACAATGCGGGAAGCGGGTATGGAAGCCTGGAAGAAGGGCATCGAAGGCAGAGAACAGAGTGAAATGGACGATGCCAAAGACTAGCCAGTTCAAGTCCCAACACCGAGGACTGCTGTCCTACCCAACAGTACTTACACTGGGGACAGCAGGGCTTTTCTTGCGCTCAGGAATATCCGCTTTATTGGGATTGCTTGCATTCCCAAGCATGGGACTGGCAGGGGCAATCCCCTTTCCGCCTGCAGCAGCGCCGCTGGACTTCCGGGAGGGAATTCCATCTTCTTTGAGGTCACTATCCGCAGTGCTGGTCTGGCTCCTCTTTGGATATGCCACAACCGAAGGGAGAGCTGGTCCAGCTGCAACAAAGAGTTCACTCTTTAAAAGACAGAATGCAGTTTCATATTGAGTCTGTGAAAAATAACATTTTGTAAGACAATTTAAATTTCTATTCACACCTAAGTGTAAACTAGTAAAATTTTCTAAGATGTTTTCCATTTGATTATTACACAAAGATTCTACTTTTTTAAAAGACTGTAAAAAGTTAACAAATTAGTTATCTTTCAGAAACAACTTAATACCGTGTCATTGTCTAGAAGCTCACTAATCAAATTCATTAGATGCAAAGGCATCATCATGCAGAACAAACTATTCTGTAAATCGAATTACATCCTTTAGTATGACATGTTCTCATTTTGTCAGAATAAGACAGCACAGATTTCACATGCCATTTCTTTTGGAAATTTATCTTGTGTCTTTAAAAAAAACACCAATATTAGAGAGAAGGGAGAAAATGAATACATAAGGGAAAGCAATAAAGCAGAGGAAAACATGCTCCTTTAGGAAGTGCCAGCTAGGGAAGAAATGGTTATAGCCGTGTTCTAGGAGAGCACATCTGAAGAGGATCATGGCAGATGATTAACTGGGCTCCTAAGTCAGCCACCCAGAGGCCCCACTGGAGTTCAAACAACTGGAAATGGACACGGAGCTACTGTAATTATCAGACACAATGCTCACTAACGACCTCTCTCTCTGGTTTTTCAAGACAGGGTTTCTCTGTGTAGCCCTCACTGTCCTTGAACTCACAGAGATCCGCCTGCCTCTGCCTCCCAAGTGCTGCGATTAAAGGCGTAAGCACCAATGCCCACTGCTGAAGTTTTTGTTTTCATTTTTAAAATTACATTTATTTGTGAGGACACACACATTCATACATGGAGGTCAGACTATGTCAGTCCTGGGTATTTAACTCAGGTTGCCTGATTTGGTGGCAAGCTGAGTGATCTTGCTGGCCCAATGTATTCTTCCTTTGCTGGTCTGGAGTATATTCTTTTTTTTTCAAAGACTTATTTATGTGTTTACATGTATGACCCATGGAGGTCAGAAGGTGTCAGTCGGATCCTCTGCAACTGGAGTTATGGATGATTGTGAGCCAATATTCAAGTAATTGGGGATTGACTTCTAGTCTCGGGAAGAGCAACAAGTGCTTGAAACAAGCCATCTCTCCAGTTCCTGAGTTATTCTGTTTAAATAACTCCCTTGACTAGGGCTGGAGAGATAGCTTAAGTACTGGCTGCTCTTCTAGAGGCCCTGGGTCCAACTGCCAGCAAACACATGGAAGCTCACAACTGTCTGTAACTCCATTCTAGAGGATCTGGCACCTTCACACAAACATGCCTGCAGGCAGAACACCAATACACATACAATAATAATTAAAGAAACACCAAACCCCACTGACACACATCCAAGCTGTTGTGTGCACTGGTTAGTTCCCTTTCTATCTTCTTAAAACTTTACCAGTCACCTATTCTATGTGTGTGTACACACATGTTACAATATGCATTTACAAGTCGGAGGACAGCTTGCAGAAATAGGTTCTCTCATTCCACTATGTGAGTCCCATGTACCAAACTCAGGCTAGTAGGCTTGTCAACAAGCATCTTTACCTGCTCAGCCACCCTGATGGCACTCTTTTCTCTCCTTTTGGTGTGTGTGCATGTGCTGAGACCAGAGGTGGAATATGTATGTCACTTTGTACTATGCATTTAAAGATTTACTTATTTATGTGTATATGTGTTTCCCTTTGTGGGTTTATGTGCATCATGTGCATGCAAGAGCTCATAGAGGACATTGGATCCCCTGGAATTGGAGTTACAGGCAGTTGTGAAAGGATACTTGTATGTTAGGAACCAAACTGTAGTCCAATATAGGGGAGCAGTTAAGTGTTCTTAACCACTAAACTCTCTCTCCAGCCCTAGGTACCATATATGCATTTAGATGACGTGGTATTCTCAGTAAGTATTATTATAAAAATAATAAAATGGTAATATTTTTATACTATAAAGGATTATAAAAGTAAAAATAACAATCAATTTGAAAAAAATAATATTAGTGTTTATGTCCTTAGTATCAAAAAATTCAGTCAACATTTAATTCTCATTAGGTGTGGTAATACAGGCCTTTAATCCCAAAACTCAAGAAGCAGAGGCAGGCAAATCTCTAAAGTTCAAGGCAAGGCTGGTTCTACAAGTTTCAGGCCACCTAAGACTACAGAGTGAGACCCTATCTCAATAAAACAAAGCAAAACAAAAAATAACATCAAGAAAAGAATCTATGTAAAAATAAACAACAATAGGCATCTAATTAGCATGAAAAAATCTCTTTTAATAGAATAGTAGTGTTGCATGTATACAAAAGAATTACTTTAAAATAAATTACTTTCATTATTTATCAGTGCTGTTTGGCTCTATATACATATACACCTGGGTCCACAGAACTTTCTATGGTGAAACCAGATTGTGAGTGGATAAAAGTCCTGTTTTAGTGTAAGAACCACAGGCCGGGATCAGGAGTCAGCTCTGCTCCAGGCGTTCCTCATTAGCTCTGTCCCCAGACTTACTGACATTCCTTTTTCCATGCCTTACAGATAAAATGAAGGGTTAGCAAATGCATGGTCTAGTTCCAAAGCGCACTTTATCTCTGAAAAAGTCATTAGAAACCCACGTGAAACCTATGTGCTTAAGGAAGAATAAACAGTATTAAGATTATTCCCTTGATAAATGAGAAAATTCCACTGGTTTCTCTCAGGATTTAGGAGTAATTCCCTTTAAATTGGTTATCTTAAGGGCATTCAGTACACAGGCCCTGAAAACTTCCTTATTAGCTAACATGAATCCACAGGAAGAGGACTGAGCTCACCTCCTTGCCTACAACCCTGCAGACGGAGTAAATCAACCCCCTCACACACACTGTCTTCTTTCTTCTTCCCTTCTCTCCCCTCCTCATTTTGCAAAAGGGTCTCTGCCTAAACCAACTTCAAACGTGGCATATAGCGAGGAAGACCTAACTTCTTTTGAAGTTTGAAAAGAAGTATTACCTTATGCAGACAGTTGTTTTGTTTGTGTGCATGTCTGTGCACATGTGTGCCTGATGCCCACAGTGACCAGAAGACAGAGATGGATCCCCTAGAACTGGAATTACAGATACTTGTGTGCTGCCATGTGGATGCTGGGAACTGAATACAGGTCCTCTGGAGGACCAGCCAGTGCATTCTACACCACTGAGCCAACTCCCTAGCTTCAACTGTTATTTATTAGGCGACACAATGTTATTTATTAAGCAGTGCTGTTTATTGTGCAAGAAAAGCCACAAGGCACAACAAAATCCACTCTAAGAGTTTATTAAGGGAACAGAGAGAGCATGTGCATAGGCCTGTGAAATGACTGTGCAGGAAGAGGGAAGGAATAGGTGGAACCGGCTTTTATAGGTCATCCTGCACTGTCCCTCACCCCCCCATGCACATATGATCACACAGCGCATGGATTCCCTAGGATGACTAAGCATCTTGCCTGGCTACTGGACAGTGCACGCACAGTCATGTAGCTGGGGAAGTAGCTGGGAATTCTTTTTTTTTTTTTTTCTTTCTGGAGCTGAGGACCAAACCCAGGGCCTCTAGCAAGCACTCTACCACTGAGCTAAATCCCCAACCCTGTAGCTAGGAATTCTAACACCAACCTTAAATTCTTGATCCTCCTGCCTCTACCTCCCAAATGCTGGGATAACAGGCATGTGTCAAAATACCCAGGATGAGGTTTTTACCTTTAACTGAAATTAAAATCAATAGAAAGATGATTCAGCAGTTAAGAGCTCTGACGACTCTCACAAAAGATCGGGTTTGGTTCCCAGCGTCCCCGTTATGGCTCACAGGCATCCAGTTCCTGGGGATCTGACAAACTCTTCTGGCCTCCATGGGCACCAGGCACAAGTAGTGTACATAAATACATGAAGTTGAAACACTCATACACATAAAAAGAAAAATCTGGAAGTCATTTCCTCCATTTAAGTGCTCCCTAGCCTCCTATGTTAGCTGTTACAACCCTGACTTCAAGTACAGAGAGCCCCACCAGTTGCAATGCTCTGGACGGCTATCTGACAAAGACTGTAGAAGAGAGACATGCATTAACTACAGACGAGGTTTTCATTCTCTAAGCCTTACCCAGCAAAGTCTACCAAACGTTCCAAATAATTAGGGGACCTTAACCATACCGGCCCCTAAGGCTACAAAGGGAGAGCAAGCCAATCTCCGGCCCGCCAGGCTCTGTACAGGAAGCTACTGGAACAGTCTCAGACTTACCATGGTCACTGTACCGCCTCTGCTTCTGACTGGAAGACACACTTCTCTGCACTTTGTGATGAGGAGACTGGCCAGTGCTGTTGCTGAGGTCACTGCTGGGCCGCACCTTAGCAAGTGAAAGGTTGCTGCTAGAACTGGAGTCACTAGCGTCCAGCTACGGAGAGGAAGAAGAGCACAACCACACACGGAGCCCAGTGGCTTGTCAGGAACTCCTGGTGATGACTCCTCCCAGGCGGAGAGGAGCTATCACAACGTACAACAACTTTAACCTCAGTCAGAAGTACTTCTGACTCCTGGGAATGAGATTATATGCTAATGAGCTCCTTCCTGACCTTATCAAAGAACTAAGACACTACACTCTGTTTCCTCCGTTTGGTATTTTACATCATTTCAAACTGTTAAGGACTAAAGTTAACTCACGATTGTATAGGCTTGTGACATTATTGGTCATAAAGGGTTATTATCTTGAAGTTAAAATAGTAGCTTATGAGCTGGAGAGATAGATGAGCCACTAGACACTAGACTCACAACCAAAAATATAAAATAATAGCTTGTAATGATCAATGAAGTTAGACCACTGTTTGTAGGCAAATGAATACCAAATATTATGTTAAAAAATTAAGGAAATAGTTTACATAAAAACTAATAATTTTTATTTTTTAACATATGAAGTCCAATCTTTTGGAGACAGGGTCGGTCTTCTGTAGTGCAGACTGGCCTTGAACTCATTACATAGCTGAGGAGTGCGGAACCTGACTCTCCTGTCTCCACCCCAAAGCAAGGACTACAGGCCGGTGCCATCATGCACTGCACACTCATCATCCTTACACGGGGTATTTAGCTTTCCTCTCTAAACACTCTTACCTCTGAAGACTTTCTCCCCAATAACAAGTATGTAGCTGTGATTTCATCATATTTCATTTTACTAAGAGATTCTTGAATTTCTTCTTGGGAATATCCCATTCCCACCATAATATCTACAAGATAAAATATGGTTTATATATTTTATTTGGACTGGAAATCATGCTAGCATGGGGGAAAAGAATTTCATTTGATTTAGAAGGTTACACATTTCCTAACATAGAAGAGCTGCTGAACATGTGACTGGGGTAACTGAGTAACTGAGCTGCTACTGACTTACTGGTGGAGCTACAGAAGACTACAGTAGATTAAGATCCCAATTTTGTATGTTTGTTTTTGGTTTGTTTGAGACACAGTTGCTTTGTGAAGCCCTGGCTCTCCTAGAACTCTCTCTGTAAACCAGAACTCACAGAGATCTGCCAGCCCCTGCCTCCTAAGTGCTGGGATTAATGGTGAGCACCACCATCGCCTGGCTAAGTTCCTAATTAAGATAGAACAAATAAGTGGATCTCTAAATTCTGTGTTTACCTTCTTTTCGTTTCTGTTTGAGCCCCATACACAGAAATAAAACATGTAGAGCACACACACAAACATGCAGACACAGGTAATTACCTATTCTCTTCTGGTCTGAGATGTCTAGTTCTGGTTCAACAAATGGCTTGAGCTCATCTTCCTCATGACCTGAATTGATCCACCTGTCCTTCATGATTTGCTGAAAGGTGAACTGTGTGTTAGCAGCACAGAATGAAGCCTCTCAATAGTCACAATATTTAGGGACATGATTTTCAACATTTCATTGCATAACACTCCAAAGGAAATTTAAGGGAATCTGTCTGTTTGTTTCACTCACTACTTAAACCCCAGCAAGCGTTCCGTGTCACACAAACTAGGCACAGTCTGTTAAACACTCTCCCTTCCCACTCACGTGGTTACCTCGAGAGTGCCACGTTTAACTGGGTTCAGCACCAGGAAGCGTTTGAGAAGGTTTTCACAGTCAGTGGACATGTAGAAAGGGATTCTGTATTTCCCTCGTAGTACTCTCTCTCTCAGTTCCTTTGGGGATTCAGGAAAGAAATAATAGTTAATTTTTAGGTTAAAAACAATAACAAAAAAATCAAACCCATAAAAGCACACATACAAATAGAACATTACAAATGTTAATCTATATAATTTTACAAAAAAAAACCTTAGTTTTTGAAGAGCATGGTTGCAATGCTTTTTTGGTTTGTTTGTTTGTTTCAAGACAGGGTTTCTCTGTGTAGTCTTGGTGCCTGTCTTGGATCTCACTCAAACTCCCAGAGATCCGTCTGCCTCTGCTTCCTAAGTGCTGGGATTAAAGGCGTTGCACCACCACTACCACCCGGCCTGCAATGCTTCTTATACCTTCAGGTTCTGACCGTCGAAGGGAAGTGACCCACTGACTAAGGTGTACAGAATGACGCCGAGACTCCACACGTCCACTTCTGGCCCATCATACTTCTTGCCCTGGAAGAGCTCAGGGGCTGCATACGGAGGACTGCCACAAAATGTATCTAGTTTACTGCCGACAGTGAATTCATTGCTAAAACCAAAATCTGCTATTTTAATGTTCATATCCGCATCTAATAAAAGATTCTCAGCCTAGAGAGAAAACATCAAGACAAAAATGAAACTTAACTAAAATACAATTACGATAATAGTATCAGGAATTTCATAAAGGCTTTTTACAAGGACTTATCTCCTAGTTAGTAAATGTAAAAACATTATTTCTAGAGAAAAACAGGAGATAAATTATATTCCCAATCTGATATTAACAATCAAATACAGACTAATTATAAGACAAGTTTAAATAATAAACACTTCAAGATCAAGGGAAATGTAGAAAGCTTCTTCAATTAATAAGCGGCTTTTTAAAAATACAGTATTTGTTTTAGGTAGTCACATCTCATAAACACTCCAGAATAGATGTAAAGTTGGTATTACTGGGGAAGGAGAACTCCCACCCCATCCCCGAGACAAACCAGTCACTTCTGTGGATTTCAGCTGACAGGCACTAAGCAGGTATGAGACTGCTGTCTGGATGTACACAGATGAGCAAGTCAGGGCCCTGCCCTCAGGATTCACAGTGGAGGTAGGGTAAGCAGGAAGATACTAAGCTGCTGAGATCTGAGTACTATTATGGATACTGATAATCCAAAGGCTCAGCAAAAGATGGCCATGGAAACTTGCATGGGAAGTGAAATTGAGAAAGGTAAAGCTTGTTACAAGGGGTTTTTGAGGGACAGAATAGAGTCAGAAGTCCACAAAGGAGAGAGCACATTTCTGTCGACAACTATCTCCAACAAGATAATGTAGGGAGAGAGATGGCTGGGGAGGTAGAGGGCACCAAATCAATTGTGTCTAGAAACTTCAGTGTTCTACCCTCAAGGTGAGAGAAAATCACTCAAAAGTTGTTAAAAACAAGGAAATGACAATTTGGGGCGGGGGCATTCATGCGAGGGTTTCTCTGTGTAGCCTTGGTTGTCCTGGAACTCACAGAGATGCACCTGCCTCTGCCTCCTGGGTGCTGGGATTAAAGGCGTGCGCCACCACCACCTGGCTGGAAATGACAATCTTATGTGTACTTTTTTCTTTTGGGGACAGGGTCTTATTATTTTAGCTCTGGCTTCCCTGCAACTCTCTATGTAATCAGGTTGCCCTGATTACAGAACTCACAGAAGTCCAGCTGCCTCCAAGATACACCCACACCCACAGAGAGAGAAAGAGAGACAGAGAAAGAGAGAGAACACACCCACACCACTAAAATCAACTACCGATACAATGGGAAGGAGGAGAGGCCAGGAGGAGAGAAGACAGCAGGAAATCGCGCTTTAACTGACTATTACATGGCTGTGGTCTGGCTCTGGAGAGCAGGAATGAAGCAGAAGAGACAGGAAGAGCAGCAAAGGAAGTGGCAACTGAAGGGAGGCTAAGCAGGAGGCTCTGGAGAAGCTCCAGTCACCAAAATGAAAAAGAACACAATCCTACTTAGAAAGGGAAAGTCTTGACTTTGACCTGGCTATACCTGAGGTGCCCAAGGGATACCTTTTGCCTAGGTACTAGGATGCTTGGGTCCTAGGACAGCTCTGGCTGCAGAAACAGACTGAATTCCCACAAAGGCAGCTACCACAACTGCCAGAGTAGATGCACTCGGGGTGGGAGCTGAGAGGGACGAGCAAGCAGACAGTAATCCTGTGAGGAGAGTGATGAAAGCACTAAGTTAAGACCAGTGTCTAGAGACTGTTCCAGAGTATGCTGTGAGATATGGAGAGAGGAAGAGGGTGTGTCTGGAAGCAGGGCGAGGTCCAGCAGAACTGCCCAGGTTCCAGTAACAAGAAGAGAGAAGAGAGGACTGCCTATGGGTACTGTCAAGCTGAAGACCTCTAAGAAAATTGCTCTGTGAGTCTTAACTCCTTGCCAAAGGAGAACAGAGATGCAGCCCATGGAAGCCTCCAACAAACATCACTCACAGCTTACAAGATAGAATGCCTTCCTACACAGGCATTGGTATCCACGGGCAGGTGGGCTGAGTTTCAGGAGACCTCTGTATGATTACGGGACGGCTGTCCTTCAGAGATGAACCACTAAGTACCTTGACTGAGACCTAAAATACTTTTCATAAACTTCACTTAAAGAACAACAGCAAAAACCTTTTCACTATGTATCTGGGTCAAAGGGAGTCGATCATTATAGAACTTATTTTTTCCTTCAAACTATTTTCTTCAAACTTTTAAAACTTAATTTGTTTGTTTTATTTTGATTTTTCGAGACAGGGTTTCTCTGTGTAGCTCTGGCTGTCCTGGAACTCACTTTGTAGACCAGGTTGGCCTTGAACTCAGATCTGCCTGCCTCTGCTTCCTAGATGCTGGGACTAAAGGTATGTGCCACCACCTTTAATTTATAGCTGAATTTATTTATTGTATGTGCATTGGTATTTTGCCTGCATGTATGTCTGTGTGAGGGTGTCAGACCTTGGAGTTACAGACAGGTGTGAGCTGCCATGTGGGTGCTGGGAACTGAACCTGGGTCCTCTGGAAAAGCAGTCAGTGCTCTAAACCACTGAGCCATCTTTACAGCCCCCGAATTTATTTTTCTCTTATTCAACAACACAATCTAATCTTTTCTGCAAAATGGCCACCAAGAGAATTATACATAACAAGCTTAGCAAGGATGCTTGGGCTTACCTTGAGGTCTCTGTGAACAATTCGCTTTTGGTGGCAATACTGTACTGCAGAAACAATCTGGACATGAGAAAAGTGGGGTTAGTCACGAATGGTGCAGACTCACAATTTCAATATTCATTTATCCTCATTTCTTCTTCTTCGGGGGTTTTTGTTTAGTTTCTTCTGAGACAGGCTCTCACTATGTAGCTCTGATTGGCCTGGAAATTGCTCTGTAAACCAAGCTGGCCCCCAAATCACAGAGATCCAGCTGCTTTGCCTCCTGAATACCAAATGATTAAAGAGTGTGCCACTACACCCTGCTTTATTGTACTCAACTTTTAAGATGGTTTCATGTAGCCCAGGTTGGCCTTGAACTTTCTACAGCTGACAAGGATCCTGAACTTCTTCTGATCCTCCTGTTTCCAAATCCAAGTTCTAGGACTAAAGACATGCAACATGCCCACATTGGGTTTATGTGCTGCTGGGATAGAACCCAGGGTTTCATGGATGCTAGCAGGTTCTCTATCCACTGGGCCGTATTTCCAACCCCGGTAAACATATTTTCTAATGTTGAGGTTTTTCTTGAAGTTCTGAATCACATCTTACAAGCTCCTGCCACTTTTCACATCTCTTCCTTCAGCTCCAAACAACTCAAAGCTCATCTGACACCACAATGACTAGATGATACTCAAACCTATTACTGGGGGCTTCCTGGTATCAAGCTAGAAACACTTTTCTTTCTTTTTCTTTCTCTCTCTCTTTCTCTGTCTCTCTGTCTATCTGTCTCTCTCTTTCTTTCCTTTTTTCAAGACAGGGTTTCTCTGTGTAGCCTTTGATGTCCTAAAGCTTACCTCTGCAGACCAGGCTCTGGGGTCCACATGGAGAAGGAAAGGACTAACTCTGTAGGTCATGCTGACATCTACATGCAGCCCCTGACAAATTTGTGCTTGTATATGCATAGATACTAAATAAATACAATTTAAAAACTCTACAGAATCCATTAAGTGTGACTGGAATTCACTGCTAATACAGGGTCTTAGGTATGAAAAGTACTTAAATTTCTTAGTGGCTAATCAATGTCCTGGGAGACTGTGTGTGTGCATGTTTGTGTGGAACCTAGAGGTCGACATGGAATGTTTTTCGTCAGTTGCTCTCCACCTTTATTTGTTGACAGACTTTGGGATTCGAACTTAGGTCCTCACGCTTGTACATCGGGAACTTTACTGACTGAGCCACCTCCCCAGCTCCAGATGCCTCTCTTAATTGCACTACTAGGACTAACAATGTAACTTACTGAATTAACAAACTGAAGACATGTTAATTCATACCTGTCTAAATTTAGCTCTTGCTTCTTTTTCCTTCATTCTTCCATGTGCAACCAAATAGTCAAATACTTCACCTATAACAGAAAGAAATGAAATTAAGCAAAAATCCTACACTGCGCATTTTCCCACAAACTGATAACATTCTACTTTTAACAAAGTTCTAGTCTTTTTTCATTCATGAATCTTTTAGGTTTTTTTATTTTATGTGTGAGTGTTTTGCCTGGATGCGTGCCTGGTGCCTGCAGAGGTCACAAAGTGGCATTTTATTCCCTTAGAATTTGAGTTACAAATGCATGTTGTGAACCACCACCTCTGCAGAAGCAGTAAGTGTCCCGAACCCTGAGCCCACTCTTGAGTTTTAGATATTTCTTTAAAAGTTTACTTATTTATTATTTATACAGTGTCCTGCCTATATGTATGACTGCAGGCCAGAAGAGGGCACCAGTTCTCATTACAGGTGGTTCTGAGCCACTATGTGGTTGCTGGGAATTGAACTCAGGACCTCTGGAAGAGTGCTTAACCACTGAGGCACCTCTCCAGCCCCTAAGTTTCAGATATTTTAAATATAAGTACTAACTAAAACATTATCACTAAGCTATAATTGAGGCTTAAGATCTTAGCTCACAAGGATAATCCTCAGGCTGAGGAGAAACCCTAAGACTAAGATATTGAAGTTATGCAGCTTTGCATCTCTTCAGGAGGTCTCAACAGATACTGAGCAATCAAGATGAAGAGAAAGGTAAGCCAGGCATGGTGGCGTATGCCTTTAACTCCAGCACATGGGAATCAGAGACAGGTAGATCTCTGAGTTTTAGACTAGCCTGGTATAAAGAGAGATCCTGTCTCTCTCCTGGTTATCAATCAGTTTTTGCCTCCTGAGGTTTGTAATTAAAGGTGTGCACCACCACACCCATATTGTCTATCCTGTTTTGAATTCAGTAATTTTGATAAAATTTCTGTCTCTATACTTCTCTGTATGTGTTACTAGGCATTTCTCCTGCAATGCCCCAGTATCTTCCTGTAAGATTATTACCACAAAGCATTACTTTATTCCACAAATGTTTTGAGTCTCTACTAACTGCAAGGCAATGTCCCATGCTCTGGAAAATTCAACAGCTGTTGTAGAATATTAGTTTAAGATGTGTAAGATTCTTTCATGTTGTGGAACATTTGTGTAATGATGTAAAGATGTGCTGCATTCTCTTACGTTGCATTTGTTTAACTCTGTGAAGCTGTGTTCCTGTGCCTGTCTAAACATCTGGTTGGTCTAATAAAGAACCAAACAGCCAATAGCAAGGCAGGAGAAAGGACAGGTGGGGCTGGCAGGCAGAGAATAAATAGGAGGAGAAATCTGGGAAGAACAAGAATAAGAAACAGGGCTGGAGGGATGGCTCAAAGGTTAAGAGCACTGGCTGCTCTTCCAGAGGTCCTGAGTTCAATTCCCAGCAACCACATGGTGGCTCACAACCATCTGTAATGAGATCTTCTGGCCAGCAGGCATACATGCAGGCAGAATACTGTATACATAATAAATAAATCTTTTTTTTTTTTTAAAGATTTATTTATTTATTATGTATACAGCCTGTATGACTGCAGGCTAGAAGAGGACACCAGATCTAATTACAGATGGCTGTGAGCCACCATGTGGTTGCTGGGAATTGAACTCAGGACCTCTGGAAGAACAGCCAGTGCTCTTAACCTCTGAGCCATCTCTCCAGCCCCCAATAAATAAATCTTTAAAAAAAAAAAAAAGAATAAGGAACAAGAAATGGAAGAGAAGAGGATGCAAGGGGCCAGCTACGGAGTAAGAAGTAAAGAAAGGGATACAGAAATAGAGAAAGGTAAAAGCCCAGAGGCAAAAGACAGACGGGATAATTTAAGAAAAGCTGGCAAAAAACAAGCCAAGCTAAGGCTGGGAATTCATAAGAAAGAATTAGACTCCATGGGATTGACTTGGGAGCTGGGTGGTGGGCCCCCCAAGAGTGAAGAGAAACAACAACAACAAACAGCAAATTCAGTAGACCACCTTTCCTAATGGAATTTGCTGGCTAATAGGAGAAGCAATGGACACACATGTATAGAATATATCAGAGGCCCATGAATGCTGTGAAGAAAAGGAAGAAAATAACAAGAGTTTGTAGGGCACATGTTTACTCTGCTGACTATCCGATGCATCGGACAGTGAAGCTGTCCAAGTGGAAGTCTGCATACATCCATCATACACACATACATGGGGAGGGGGGAGAGGGAGAGAGGGAGGGAGAGAGGGAGGGAGGGAGGGCAGTAAGGCAGCCATAGATCCTGGAAAACTGTGAGCAATGGGGAGAGCGCAGGGCAGGGCAGGGCAGGGCAGGCAGGTCCACAAGAGTTCAGCAGGTTTTGGAAAGGGTTCTGGCTAGACTCTAAATGAGGTGAGAAACTGAGAAGAAATAACTGACTTCATAAAAGGACCACTGAATTGAAAGTGGGAAGAGTCAGGATGAGGGGAAGGATAGGAAGCCCACCGGAAGATCCTGCAGTAATCAAATCGAGCGTGAGCATGACTGGCTAAGTGGGTGAGCAGTGGTGGTGAGCAGCGAGGGAGGCTCAGGACAGGGTGAGGTGAGGCAACAGAGCTTGCTATGGTGGTGTACTCAGAAGCAAGCCCGTCACTAGGACGTGGAAGCAGAAGGACCAGTTCAGTGTCGTCTTTGACTACTGTAGTGGTTTAAATGAGAGCTCTCATATACTCTGGTATTTCAATACTTGGCTCACAGTTGTTTGGGGAGGTTTCATAGGTACGGTCTTGCTGAAGGAAGTAAGTTCACTAGGGTGGGCTTTGAGAGCGTAAAACCTCACCCTACTTCCAGTTTGTTCTGTCTGCTTTGTGCTAGTGGGCGAAGATGGGAACCTCAGCTTTCTGAACCTGCTGCCAGGACTGTGGCTTGCTGCTATGCCTCCCCACCATGATGGATGCTTATTTCTCTGAAACTAAAGCCCATATAAACTCTTCCTTCTATAAGTTGTTTGGGTCATGGTGTTTTAATACAGTAACAGAAAAGTAACACACATGCATTATAGCTACAAAACAAGTTCATGGCTAGCCTGAGCTATATGAGACCTTGCCATACCAAACAAACAAAACACACATTCCCACACCCCCAATACAAATAAACACCTAGGGGCAGAAACCCGGCTCAGTGGTTAAAAGAGCTTGCTACTCAGCCAAAAAGACGAGGCTGAAACAAGGCAGATGCAGTATTCCACGGCCTCTAACGCAGTGCCACAGAGAGGAGAGTCAGGATCTCTGGATCTTAGGGGCTGATGGCCTAGCTGAAAAATTCTAGTTCCAGATTCAAGGAGAGATCCTACCTTAAAGGTACAATGAAAAGAGCAATAAAGGAGGAAACCTAACCCCATCCTGTTTTCTGTACACATGTATGCACAAGCACAAGACCCATGCACACATGTACATATACCACACACACATAAAAACAATTTTTTAAAAAAAGAAGAAAACTATTAGTGGACGAGACCTACTCACTGTTGTACAGACCACAGATGAGGTCCAAATATTCAAGTCATAATTTACTTATAAATTCAAATGCAATATAAACCTCTTAAGAGATTCCTAGAACTATGAAGGACACTCACAATAACTAAGTTTTATAAATCAGGAGTACAATTTATAAGCCAGGAAAAATGTTTCCTATTAAAAATGTATTAACACTTGATTAAGCAGCTGGACTAAAAGCCTCCAAAGGCGACTGACTAAGTAAAAAAGCTGAGCGGTACTCCTGCCAGGTCAGGGAGAGCATGTTGGGGACGGAAGGACTGAGTGGGGAAGTTCAGAATACCTTTATTTCTAGTCTGGGCCTTGAAACTCGCTAGCGAGGGCACCCTTGGCAGGTACCACCTTTTGGAGCAATTCTAAGACTGTACCAAATGACACGGCACTGCCAGGCATGGTGCGAATGCCTTTATTGCCAGCATGCAGAGGGCAGAGTCAGGCAGATCTCTGAGTTTAAGATCAGCTTGTTCTACAAAGTAAGTAGGACTACACAGTGAAAGCCTGTCTCAAAGAAACAAACGTACAAAAAAAGGAAGGGAGGGGGGGCTATATAAGGGAGAAACTGTCTCAAAAAAAGAAAAAAAAGAGACCAGGTAGTGGTGGCACAAGCCTTTGATCTCAGCTTTTGGGAAACAGAGGCCAGAGGATCTGGTTCACAGCCAGCCTGGTCTACCGAGTGAGTTCATGGACAGCCAGGGCTACCCTATCTGGGGTGGTAGTGCTTCCTACTCTTGAAGAGGACCTGGGTTCAGCTCCCAGCACCCACATATGGAGGCTCACAACTGCCTGTAACTCCAGTTCCAGGGGATCAGATGCCCTCTGTGGGTACCTGCACCCATGTAGTATACAAAAATTCACACAGCCTCACCCATATACACATAACTAAAAATAATAAATCTTAAATAAAATAAAAACGAACATAAAATATATAGCCAGTAATGAATTCAGAATATGGAAGATTTGGTGTTGGTTACATCTACTGTAACTCATTCCATCCCATGACAAGCTTGTAATTGTTTAGCTAATCTAAATCTAAAACTGTTTATGTATGTGGCTGTTTTGCTTGCATATATGTTTGTGCAACATGTGTGAGCAGTGGTGCTCTTGGAGGCCAAAAGAGGGCATTGGATCCCCTGGAACTGGAGTTGTAAGCCTCCATGTGGGCACTGGAAACTGAACCTGGGTTCTATTTGACACAAGCAAAAGTCACCTATAAGGAGGAAACTTCAGGGCTGGAGAGATGGCTCAGTGGTTAAGAGCACTGGCTGTTCTTCCAGAGGTTCTGAGTTCAATTCCCAGCAACCACATGGTGGCTCACAACCAGGTGAGATCTGGTGCCCTCTTCTGGCCTGCAGGGACACATGCAGGCAGAACACTGCATACATTATAAATAAACAAATCTTTAAAAAAAAAAAAAAAAAAGAGGAAACTTCAATCAAGGAAATGCCTCCATTAGCATGGCTTATAAGGCATGTGTCTGTGTGGCATTCTCTTGCTGACTAATGGCGGGCAGGGGAACCTCGATCAACCAACTATGATCCTGGAAAGGTAACTGAACTGGAACCCAGAGACAAGCCAGTAAGCTCATTCCTCTATGGCTCTGCTTCCGACCTGCTTGAGTTCCTCAACAATGGACTGTGATCAAGATGTTGAAGACAAACCTGTTCCTTCCCAAACTGCTTTGGTCATGGTGTTTATCATAGCAACAGAAAGCAAACTAATACAACACACGAATGCTAATCTTACTTGTCCAGTGTCTCTGTGCCAACCATGGTGCTACAGGCACAGTAAGAACAGACGACCAGGAAAGCATCTGTTCTATACAGTGGAATTTACATGTGGTTCTGAAACACTAGTCTCCCCAAGCTCAACCCTCAAGAAAGATCTTTAGAACCAACAGAAGCTATACATATCTACTGGTAATCATATGTATTGAAATCATCATTTTTGGCTTTGGGAAAGACAGGCATTAATGGCATTAAAATATGATAAAAAGAGATATAGTTCTGTGATAAAGCTTATGGGTTTGTTTTTCTTGTTTTGATTTTTCAAGACAGGGTTTCTCTGTGTAAGTAATTCTAGCTGTCCCGGAACTGGCTTTCTAGACCAGGGTGGCCTCAAACTCACAGAGATCCACCTGCCTCTGCCTCTCAAGTGCTGGTAGCATGTGTCACCACGGCTGGGCTAAAGCTTATGGTTTTAAGCCCTAGATTTCAATCCCCAGTTCAAAAACAGACAACAACAAACAAACAAACAAAACCAAGAAATTGTGCTGGTGGCACAGCCTTTAATCCTAGTACTCAGACAGAGGCAGACAGAGGCAGGGGGATTTCTTGAGTTTGAGGCCAGCCTGGTCTACAGAGCTAGTTTCAGGCAGCCAGGGCTACACAAGAAACACTGTCTTGAAAACCAAAAACCAAAACAAAACCAAAACAAAAATCTAAGAAAATGGTATAAAATATCTAGCACATTAAAAAAAAAAAAACCCAAATACTTGGGATAAACAAAATGTCAGTAGACACATAAGTCTCCCTCTTGCTCTCAGATTACTATTCAGCATTTAAAAAGAAAGGAAATTCCACTACATACCATAATGTAGATGACTTTAACAACATTATAAGAAGTAAAATATTCTAAGTCAGGGACAAATGGACAAACACTGTACAATCTCATTACATTTGGTACCTAAACTAGTCCAATTCAGAGACAGAAAATAGTTCGGTGGATGTAAGGAGCTGAGAAAGAAAGGAGGCAGTTAAGGTTTATTTAATGTATGAACAGCTTCAGTTTAGGAACATTTATTTCTGGAGGAACAGACAATAGTGAGGGGTATAGAATTATGTTGAATGTACTTAGTATCATTGTGCTGGCTAGTTTTATGTCAACTTGACAAAGCTCGAGTCATCTGAGAGGAAGGAAGCTCAATCACAAATGCCTCCATAAGACTGGACTGCAGGCAAGCCTGTAGAGCATTTTCCTAATTAGTGATCAATGTAGGAGAGCCCAGCCCATTCTGAGTGGCACCACCCTGGGCTAGTGTTCCAGGTGCTATAAGAAAGGACGGCTGAGCTGGGCAGTGGTGGCGCACGCCTTTAATCCCACTACCAGGGAGGCAAAGGCAGGAGGATCTTTGTGAGTTTGAGGCTAGCCTGGTCTACAGAGTGAGATCCAGGAAAGGTGCAAAGCTACACAGAGAAACCCTGTGGTAAAAAAAAAAAAAAAGGAAGGCTGGAGAAAGGAACAAAAAGAAAGCAGGCTAGTGAGCCATGATGAATAAGCCAGTAAGCAGCAGGCTTCTGTGGCCTCTGCATCAGCTCCTACTTCCAGGTTCCGGTCCTGTCTTCCTTCAATGACAGACTATAATGTGAAAGTGTAAGCTTAATTTCCTCCTCAACTTATTTTTGGTCATGGTGTTTATCACAGCAATAGAAACCCTGACTAAGATAATTATTCAACTGTATACTTGAAAATGGTCAAATGCTGGGCTAGATGTGGCTGTGTTGGTGAGTGCTTACTCAGCTTCAGGAAGCCCTGGGTTCCAAACCCAGAATCACATTTAAGAATAAAAAAGAAAAAGAAAAACAGCTGGGTATGGCGGCACACTTATAACCCCAGTACCTGGGAGAAAAAGAAAAACAACTGGGTATGGCGGCACACATCTACAATCCCAGTACCTGGGAGGTGGAAGGAAGTTCAAGGTCATCAGAATAGAAAGAGACAGAGATCCAAGTCCTAAATTCCATGTGATACATATATTACCACAATGAAAAACTGAGAGTTGTTGTATATTATCAACTAGTAATGCTAAAAGTGGAGCCAGAGAGTGCTCAGAGGTCAGGTGCTAGTCATGCAAACCTGATCATTTGAGTTCAAGTCCTGCAAGTTGTTCTCTGACCTCTACACATGTGCCATCACATATACATAATAAATCAATGTAATAAAAAACAGCAATGTTGAGCTGGAGAGATGGCTCAGCAGTTAAGAGCACTGGCTGCTCTTCCAAAAGCCCTGGGTTCAGTTCCCAGCACCCACATGGCAGCTCACAACAGCCTGTAACTGTTCCAGGGGATCTGACACCCTCACAAAGACAAACAAGCAGGCAAAACACCAATGCATATAAAGTAAAAATAAATTAAAAAAAAAAAAACCAGCAATGCTAATAATCAAACACTACAGCCCACATAACTGACAAGGAGAGGTCAGCATTTCACACTCTGATGATACCAGTTTACAACATCTGAATATTAAATAAAATCTAAAGGACTATCCAAATGGGCACTGTGGCTGCACACTGCTTTTAACAAGAAAAACGAAAACACATACTCTCTTACTTTGAAAACAATATAAATGTGCTTACCTCCACTTGCATATTCCATGATTAAGTAGAGTGTTTTTTCTGTTTCAATGACCTCAAACAACTTCACTGGAGGGAGAAGACAGATGAGAAAAAGAACAAATGTCTGTATGTACACAACATGCACCTATAAGCTAAAAAATACCCAACTTTCTCCTGCTAAAGGTTTTAGAGAGCTGGCTCGTAAATGCATTGTAGGAATTAAAAAATATCCTGTATTACATAATTTCGTAAAAACAAAGAAACCATAAAAATAAAGACTATTTCTGGGTGTTGAGAATGAGCTCAGCAGTCTGGCCACATGGCTGCTTTCTTACTTCCTCTCTTCCTGTCCATGATGGTGTCTGTGTAAGTGGGGCTGTCCTCCGGCAGCTCAACCCCATTCTTCACTTTTCTTACCTATTGCCCTCCTGGCAAGAGCAAGCCCTGTCATCTGGTACTATGATTTTAAGAAGAAGGTTCCACCGGAGATTTCTGTAACTTGGGGAACTTGCTGCAACTATCAAAGAACTAGGCCCCTTTGTTAATATTCTGAAAGTAAAACTAGGAATAATTAGAAGGGGTTACATGGCAATCAATTTTTTTTTCTTTTGTAGTACTGAGAATTGAATCTAGCGTCTCACAAATGCTAGTCAACCATTATCCCCAAACTTTTTAATACTTGTTTTGAGATAAGATCTAAACTGCAAGGCTTGCCTTGAACTCCTTCTGTAGCTAAGCAGTGGAGTCAGTGGTTTTTTCCTGCCTCATCCTCCCTAGAGGCATGTGATACAAGCAGCAAAAATCACTTTTTTGTTCTTTCCTCTGGAGCTGAGGTCTGAGCACAGAGTCTTGGGCTTGCTAGGAAAATCTTCTATCACCAAGCAAATTCCCAACCCCAGAGCTTCTTTTAAAGAATGATTTTCAGAGGCTAGCCTGGACTACATAGTGAGTTCTAGGACAACCAGAGCTATATAGTGAGACCTTATCTCTAAAAACCAAAACTGAGACAAAACAAAACAAACAAAAAAGAATGATTTTCAGGGGGATGGGGATCAATGAAATTTTGCTATGATGACTCCTTTCTTTAGATAGAAATTCCTATTTCTCCTAATTTATAAAGCTACAACACATCAATTAAAAACAAACATATTTTTAAAGGAATATGAAGTAAATCTCTGAAGCTATTAAGTCACTGTTGTACAGATCTACTTAATTTTGTTATTTCCTTTCATTTTTTCTAAAAAAAAAAAAAAAAAAAAAAGCTAGTCCTTTATAGTTAAAGAATTTTTTTTTGGATGACTTAGTAAGATACTAGAGCAAACAAAATACCTGACAAAGTAGTGAGTGTTAAATGAGCTAGGAGAGTCTAAGACCATTATTCATTCTCTGTGTTCATACTGTTAAGAAAACCACCTTGAGAAAGTAAAGGCAGTACTGGTAAAAAAGCAACAAAAAAATAAAAGTACTTTAATATGCAAAAGCAGATATTTGGCTCTTTTGAGAAAATTATCTTAATGTTATATGAGTTTAAAAAATTTAAATCTAGCTGGGTAGCGGCAGCACACACCTTTAACCCCAGCACTTGGGAGACAGAGACAGGCAGATCTCGAGATCAGAGATCGAGGCCAGCCTGGGATACAGAGTAAGTTCTACGTCAGCTAGGGCTACACAGAGAAACCCTGTCTCAAAAAACCAAAAACAAGAAAAAACAAACAAAAACAACCAAAACAAAACAAAATTGAATCTCTTACATTTAGTAAGTAGAGCACTGTGATTAATGAGTTTACTCTACACTGGCCTAGCACAGAGGCCTTGCGCTTTGATCCCACCGACAGGAGTGATCAAGCATTTAGTGATGAAATTCTGAGCAGCAGTGATAAAGTCAATTTTTGGTGAAAAATTGGAATCTAAAATCCAGAATTTAATGATTACTCTCAAAGGGTTAAAATGAAAAATGAAGAAAGGGTTTCTTTCCATTATTATACTTCTTATGGTTTTTCTTTTTCTCCAAATATATATTCATGGATTCTAATACGTATATTTTTCCATGAATAGCTCTTCAGAATAATAGCTTAGAAGCATTTTTCTGTATAGTAGTGCATAAAACAATGGTTTTTATTTATTTATTTTTTGTAATTTTTTAATTTTATGTGCATTGGTGTTTTCCCTGCATGTATGTCTGTGTGAGGGCATCAGACCCCATGGGACTGGAATTACAAACAGTTGTGAGCTGCCATTCGGGTGCTGGGAATTGAACCAGGGTCTTTTGTAAGAGCAAGTGCTCTTAACTGCTAAGCCATCTCTCCAGCCCCAATAATATTTTAAATAACAATGACTATTTAATAAAATAGTGTGTAAGCTATTTGCTTAGTATATACTCAAATTAAAAAATTCTGTGTGTTGGTGGGTGGTGGTGGAACACGCCTTTAATGGTAGCACTTGGGAGGCAGAGGCAGATGGATCTCTGTGAGTTCCAGGTCAGCTAAATCTACATAGTGAGTTCCAGGACAGCCAGAACTGTTCAACAAAGAAACTCTGTCTCGAAAAACCAAAAAAATTAAAGCATTGACACTATTTAAAAGTTCTATTATGATACACAGAATCAGAAGTTTTCACTGGTGTGCACATGTGTGTTTCATCTTAGTCCGACAATTATGAGGGCAGGAAACGGTCCTTCCCTCATCTTTAACACCTGTCACAGTTAAGCACACAGAGGACAAATAGTTCCTATATAAATTACATTAGATAGTATGTATCCCATCTTTTATATACTACTTTGTATAAATATTTTCTTAGGAACACAGACACAGCAAAAGTTTATCTTTGAAAATATTACCAACTAATGAAATACAATTACATTTCCTAATACACTAAAAAAAATTAATCAGCCAAATTATACATATTCCTATGGCATAAACGCTTAAGTCAAAATGCCTAATAGCTGTACTCTCAAAGAACTAGTAGTACAAGTAATAACTTGTACATGTTTTATTAAAAATAGACCTTGGCTAGGGAAAAGGGGTGGAACGTCCTAGCACTTCAGGAATACACTTTTAGCTTTATGACATATTTTCAAGATTCCAAAGTATTTAAGAAAATGAAAAGTACCTATGTTTGGATGATTTAAAATCTTCATTATTCTTACTTCTCTGAAGAGCTAAAAAACAAAGAAAAAGACAAGCCCCTACATTATTAAATGTTATATTCTGCTTACAATATAAATTTAAGTTTTTCTTAGATAACTGCTTCATTATTTATATTTATTACCCTATCCTACGAATAAAATAATACAGAATTCTGAATAGCCCTGAATAGGTTTATAACCTGTTACCACACAGTATCGCAAATGCTCACATTAATGGAAACGGCAGCAGTCTGGAGAGGAACAAGTACCACACTCTGAATTTAATTTGGCATCTTAAAAATAGTTTGTGATTAATCTTGGTCTGATTCATTATCTGCACACCTGAGAGCCAATAAAAACCTGTGCAGTCCCAATGAACTAAATCAGGGGCACATGAGATCTGGTGATCCCAAATGATTCTCCAGTAAGATTCCGAATGACACCAATTTGGAAGTCCTCACTGGAGAGGATGAGTGGCTGATAGCATAGCGGGAGCAACACAGGCTTCCTGAACCACACCTTACACATGCAGCTACACTTGCTGTATTCCTTGCTTTACCAATGTGATAGCAACAAAGTCAAAGCGAGCAGAAGCTGGAGAAAATGTTTGACCATCAGGTTCTGCCATCTTCGGTGTGTGTGAAGCTGGTCCTGAATGAGAGGCAGTCCAGAGAAACAGATCTTCTCTCTTCAGACTCCAACAGCACTCAGACACCCCGTGAACCAGGACGGGCCCTCTGCACAACTGGCTCACACAGGACGTGCAGATGTCCAGAGAACTGGTAAGTGCGTAGCAGAAACACAGGCAGGCAAATAAAGACAATTCTTTTCAAAATGATTTATTTTGAGTATGATTACTCTGCCTGCATGTAAGTCCACTAGGTACATGCGGTGCTGCGGAGGCCAGAGAGGGCACTAGATCCCCAATAACTATAGTTACAGATAACTGGGAGCTAGGAACCAAACCTGGGTCTCTGAAAGGAAAGCCAGTGCTCTTGACTACTGAGTCATCTCCAGTCTTCCCATTTTTCTTTAGCTCCTCGCCCAGAGAAGGTCCCACTATGTAGCTGGCTTGCAGGAAACTTGCTAAGCAGATTGGAGTGGCTACCTGCCTCTGCTTCCCAAATACTAGGATTAAAAGCCAAGCACCATTACACCCTTTGTTAAGCCTGGCTTTTGCTTTTGCTGTCTTCAATGAAGAAGAATTGTGGTGAATTAGGGGTAACTGCCCAAGCATTAACTAGATTAGCACTTCACAGATGGATGTGTTGTTGTTGTTGGCCTCAGCACTAGAGAGCCAGCCCCCAGTCCTCTGTTGGAGCAAAGGCAAGGAAGTCAGGTGTAACGTGAAAGGCTTTTTTTTAAAACAGGAATCTAAAACAGGGTTCCTCGGGTACCACTAGCAGCAATGTGCTGGGTCAGCAACACATTACTTCTTGCAGCACTAGAGACTGAACGCAGGACCTTGCAGACAGGAGGCAAGTGTTCTACCACCAGGGTTCATCACCAACCCACTATCTCACTTTTATTGTAAGGCAGTGTCTAACGTCCAAGCCAGCCTAGAATACATTCTGTAGACTAGGTTTCCTCAAAATCATGGTGATCTTCCTGCCTCAGTTTCCCAAGTGCTGGGATTACAGACACAGACTACCATGTCTGGTGACTTCTTTTCAAAGCTGGATTTTCTTCTGGAGCTACTGTGGCACTTGAGAGTTCCGCAGCAGTGGCGGTCTTTTTGCTATCTTGAGGAATCTTAGTTGTGGGCTATTCAAGAAGCTGCCTATTTTACAGGCAGAGAACCAGTTAGTGCTCTTCAGTGCTCTTTGCCAATGGGCTACTTGGGGGCACTGCTGCTTTGGCTTCTTTACATCAGCAGTTTTCAGGGGGCTGGGGGTTGCTCCATGGTTAAGAGCACTTGTTACTATTGCTGAGGGCCAGGATTCGATTCTCAGCATCCACGAGGCAGTTCACTACTGTCTGTACCTCCAGTCCCAGGGGATCTAGCGCCCTCTTCTGACCTCAGTGAGAATCAGGCATGAATACTGTGCACAAACATGCAGGCAGGCAAAACTGTCATACACACAAAATACTGTTAAAGAAAAACAAAACAGTAGTTTCCAGCACTCTGTACATTGGATTCATTTGTGGATTCTTTTTTAAAGACCGTGCTTCTTCTTCCCCAGATGGGTACTTGCCCCCCTAGAGGTCCTGGTTGAAAGGGTTGGGACAATAACAGTGACGGTGCATTAGAATGAGAATGGCCTGGGACAGACACTCTTCTACAAGGCAGCCTGTTTTACAATTTTTAATTAGCTTACTCATTTGTTTGTTTGCTTGTTTGTTTGTTTGTTTATTTATTTTAGGTTTTTCAAGACAGAGTTTCTCTGTGTAGCCTTGGCTGTCAAGGAACTTGCTAAATAGTCCAGGATGGCCCTGAACTCAGAGATCTGCCGCCTCTGCCTCCTAACGCTGAGTGTTGGGATTAAAGGCATGTGCTACCAGTGCTCGGCCTATTCATTTTATTTTATGTGTGTTTTACCATCTCTCTAGCCATAACACAGCCTTTTTTAAAGAAAACCCCTTGCCCATGCGTTCTCTAGGTCCTGCTGATCGCTTCCTTCCCTCTGTAGAACTCCTAGGAGAGTCTCCGCATAGCCCCGGACTCCTCCCTAACAGCTCAACACAGACCACTTACAAAATCTTGGTCATAGAATAGTTGTTCATCCTTTTTCCCCCCTTTCTTTTTCTTTCCTTTGTTATTATCTTCTTCCTTGCTTCTTCTGTACTGATTTGGAGCAGGCTGGCAACCCAGGCCCTTGTCTGTTGCAGTTTTGTGTCTGCAGTAAGACTATGCAATGAATCTGGCAAACTGATGCAAACAGAGTGCTCTGACACAATTCTTAGTTATGCCTGCTCAAAATACTACAAATAAAATCTGTGGTTTTCTACTTTTAGGTTTTAAAGAAGTAGTAGATAATAGGAATAGAAGAAAAGTTACTGCTTCTTTATAGGAAACTCATTTTTTCTTCTCTGTGTAGCCCTGGCTGTCCTCAAAATCACAGAGATCTGCCTGCCTCTGCCTCCCAAGTGTTGGGATTACAGGCGTGCGCCACCAATGCCTTGGAGGAAATTAAAATTCATTGACAGATTTCTTTTAACAGAACGTAATACAGCTTGTTCTTTAGAATAGGTTGAAAATTGGACTATGACAAGGTAGTTGAATTTTTTCCATTTATTTAGTATGGGTATGTGTCATAGCACACACAGGGAAGGCAGAGAAAGCTTGAGGAAGTTGGTTCTTTCCTTCCATCAAGCAGGTTCCCAGGATTAAACCTGAGTCCTCAATCTTGGCTGAGCCATCTTCTTGGCCCAGAGGCAGTTTTTTTTTTTTTCTTTTTTCTTTTTTCCTTTTATTTTATTTTACAATACCATTCAGTTCTACATATCAGCCACGGGTTCCCTTGTCCTCCCCCCTCCCACCCCCTCCCCTCCCCCCCAGCCCACTCCCCAATCCCACCTCCTCCAGGGCAAAGCCTCCCCTGAGGACTGAGATCAACCTGGTAGACTCAGTCCAGGCAGGTCCAGTCCCTTCCTCCCAGACTGAGCCAAGTATCCCTGCATAAGCTCCAGGTTTCAAACGGCCAACTCATGCAATGAGCACAGGACCCGGTCCCACTGCCTAGTTGCCTCCCAAACTGATCAAGCCAATCAACTGTCAGAGGCAGTTTTAATTGTGCCAATGGTTCATTAAGTCACATTCACTACTTGGCTAATCCTACTTCTGTTTAGTTCTCTCAAGAAGTTAGCCTAGGGATGGAGGGATGGCTCAGAGGTTAAGAGCACTGACTGTTCTTCCAGGGGGTCCTGAGTTCAATTCCCAGCACCCACATGGTGGCTCACAACCATCTGTAATGAGATCTGGTGCCCTCTTCTGACCTGCAGGACAGAACACTGTATGCAAAATAAATAAATAAATCTTAAAAAGTGGTACTTGAGAAGCTAGGACAAAAAGAATGCCAAAGCTGTGGGTTCCAGGCCAAACTGGGCGATTACAGCAAGACTGCCTTAAAAAAAAAAAAAACAAACAAAAAGCCGGGCGGTGGTGGCGCACACCTTTAATACCAGCACTCAGGAGGCAGAGGCAGGAGGATCTCTGTGAGTTGGAGGCCAGCATGGTCTAAAGAGCAAGATCCAGGACAAGCACCAAAACTACACAGAGAAACCCTGTCTCGGGGGGTGGGGTGGGGGTGGGGTGGGTTTAATTCATCAACCAAACAATTAAATTAAAACAAATAAAGGAAAGGGAGAAATAGTAGCTGATGGTTCCAACACTAAAAAGGAGGACCTAGGAGTTTGAAACCAGCCTAGTCAGCATAAAGATATCCTGTCTCCAAAAAGATGTTTTAGCAGGGCTAGAGACATGGCTTGGTAGTTAAGAGCAGTAACTGCTCTTGTAGAGGGCCAAGATTTAATTCCTGATACCCACATGGTGGCTCAAAGCCACCCGTAACCCCAGTCCTACAGAATCCAACAGGCATGTACCGTGGTACACATATATGCACATGGGCAAAACATTCATACACACAAAATAAAACAAATAAATCTAAATGCTTTACTACTGAGTCCACAGCAACAACTTAGAAGGAGCATTCTCCACTGAAAGATCTTTGTCCCTGTCTTGCTTAATATTTTAAATGGGTGAAAACTCCATACCTAATTTAGACAGCACCAAAGTAGAACTATGTGTTAATAAAAATGACTCAGGGCTCAAAAATGCCCCAGTAGGGCTGGGGATATAGCTCAGGGGTAGAATGCCACACATACAACATATACTGATAGACACAGGTCCAAATTACAGCATAAAACCATTTTAGCAAGAACCATGTAACTTAGGTAAGGAAAACAATCAATTTAAGCACAGCAGAAACTAGGCCTGTGCTAAGGGAATCTCCTGTGGGTGACCAAAAGTCTAAGTGTTTACTTTAGAGAAGACCTCAAAGGCTGGCTGTATTTGAAATGGTGAATTTTGCTTC